CACTTAGTACGTGCATTGCACAGAGCACGTCTTTGACCTCCCCACTATATATAATGACCATCACCCATATCATATCAAATTGATGGCACTGCTTTAATAAGCACCGATCAGGTGATTGTCATGGATTACAAATGCTTGATCAGTATTAATAATCTTCGCCTCTACATCGATACAAATGCACATAAGCATGAATAAGCGTGATGATCATCAGCTATTCATGTGATATAACAATACAATGGCAAGTCTTAGGAACACTGCTATGACACATCATGCTGTTTCAACAGCATGATATGATGCGCATATCCACAACATGTGCACATGACATCCTGATCTGGGCGTATGAACCTGATTTTTCATTGTCGACTGTAGCGTGCATAGTAGAGACCACAATGTCTACATGTTTTCCGCATTCACAATGTTCCTTAAAGACATAGGGTCGTGACGAACATATCGTTCCGCCTTTAATATAATAACAATATCAGAAGCTGCATGCTTTTTATAAATTCATAATGACTATTACCTCAAAATCGCCTAATATATTGTTGTCATGCTGGTGTTGACTTGGAACCTCTGCGACAATGATGTCTATCAAAAGGTCAGACCTGTCGGAGAACCACATATGCAATCTCGCACCTTCCGACATATCACGAGTTCGACTTGGACCAGCATCCCCATCATCGTATTCGTCATCCTCCATCTCCATATCGTATCCTCCGCTGGATATATAACCCGATTCGTCCACGCGTTCAGAGTTCCCGTGTTCGGTGCCAGAGAAAGCAAGATGTAACTCCCTAGCGGTTCCCGTCCTCTCCTTCGATATTTCATCCATTCTTTTCTCCAGCTCATCGAATCGAGTCTCCAGATATAATATATCATCCCATGTCACCTTTCTCCTTCTGTATAATAGTGTCAATTCATGAATATTACAATAACCACACGCACTCACTTGATATCTACGCTTCTACCATATCGACAGCGCTGGCCAGCGCCACGATGACTGCATGAACTGCATGGCTCCCGTCTAGATTATAATGTCTTATTAGCATATGTTCTAAAAGTGTGCCTCCTAATTAATATCCGTACCGGTCGCACTTTTCTTTCCGCTTCCGACATTCTACATGTTTCAAGTTCACAACATGTCGATGTTGCCAACAATTATTGTGAAAGGGCGGTAATATGTCAGCGCAGTATTATGGACCTATCAGCTTGCATACAGAGAGATGCATCGAGAAACATATTTCACATACCTAGACAATTGTTTGGGCGGCGGGCCTTCCTATTAACCCCTCTTGTGATAGCGAATCCAATGTCTGTATCTCCCGCGCATGAGCAAAAATCAAACAAGCTTTACTTTTCCACCACACGTGTACCTGTCGTGTCATGACTGTCCAACGATTCAGTAGATCCGTCCCCTATCTGTATCTCTTGCGGCACATTCATTGGTTTGAATCCTGTATTCGAGTCCAAAAGTGATTCGTCACTGTGCCTTTCTCTTACTCACTGAACTTGTGCATTGATAATGGCTCGACAGAATGACGGCCAAGATCTTCGTTTTCATACGTATTTCGCGAGTGTTGTGCTATTTTGATACAGTCAAAAAACATGCTATACTTCTGCAGTTGTTATGGTACTTACTAAAGCTCTCCATCATCAATTTCACGCGTTACCGTAGTAGTTGCGACTCGTGAGTTTATGATGGCTGCGCACTGAGCAGCACCATAAAACCTCAATATACGATAGTACAGTTGTATGCGATGTCGTACCTCGAATCCCTGGACAAGTCAACGCCGGATGGTTCAAAATCGACAGAGTGCTCAAAGAGAAAGATGATTGCCAACCTTCTCGCATGCACGACGACCTCCGAGCTTCATCCATAACTCCCCCAAACCTTATCATCATCTATAAATATACTATTGATCCCGATACTGTTTTGACACTCTTCTCGACTTCTTTCCCAATATGCACACTCAATGATGTTCTACGTTTGGTAATAATCTACAAAAGGTTATTTTGTAAATCGCCTCATCCATTGATGCACGCATCATTACGAAACTTCGTGCTCCCACAGACGCAATTCACCGCTCTGCAGGAACGTGGTCATGGAGCATGCATCACACACCGCGATATCCTGCAACTCCATCTCGTACCACCGTCATCTAACAACAGTCCTAAATCTTGTCGACCCGGTATCGTGCCATTCACTGATGGCCAGCACTGCTACCTATCATCCTGCCCCCAATTTTTACTTTCCAGTTTATGTCATACATCGCTCATCGGACCCGTCGCCTCCGGAGCAGTCTACCGCAGTGTTTGATATCGCCTTGATACCTGATTTCTATCTCGCCGTGCAAACACCCATCGAACTCTACCTCGTCTACCCTCAGAGCATTCCATCTCCTCTCTTATCCGAATCTGTTTCTTTACAGGCCACCGCTTCTCCGCTCTTCATAAAAGGAACTGTTGCCGGTGAACGAAGAAGAACAGCATCCTTCGTCGAGTTCGTTGTTTTCAACGAATTCCAGGATTCCCTCACCAAGCGCGCCTTCATCGCGCTCTGCGTACCCCCTGATGCGATGCCACGCGCGAACATCGCAGAGATGCTGGGAACGCGTCTCGACGCTCCTGGTGTTATAGGCGCTAAAACAGGATCCACTTCCCCTCCACCTCACCGATCAAATCAAATCCTGTACCAAACGCGGGGTGCGCGATCTGAAGCCGTCGTCTTGCCAAAAGGTCTGACGAGACGCACTCGCCAACCGTCTTTCTCTTTCGATTTCGGTATCACCTCCGTTCCTCATCAGCCGAACACAAACCTGCCTTCCCTTCATGCTGGAGAGTCTCACGTCACGCCTGCTAGTGCTCATACCTTCGAGACGTCAACCAATTTCCAAGGTATGTATAGCATATATCACTGTGATACGTATTCTTGCTGACTATCTTACAAAGACACACCACATGTCACACTCCCCTCGATCTATTGCAGCGACAGCGGGCACGATGATAAGGGCTTACAAAATCAGCGCAACCTGCCCCTTTCTGTATCAAGCCATCGAGTATCCTCGTCCAGTAACCAGTCCGATTGGATTGATGCCAGACCCTCGAAACCGCTTGACAACCGCTTCACGCTACACAGTCCAGACAACTTCGTGTCCGTCCGACCTGATCCTAGTCACGTCCACTCGCACGCATTGAATGATCGCTTTGTCCTCCCCTTCAAAAGCGCCCCCCGTCTGCATGATGAAGACCCCCAGGCTAGTACCACTCCCATCGCCGTATCCCCTCCACATCCCTACCATCTCTGGCCCGAGTATGACACTCCGCATACGCCGACAACCCTCTCTCCGACTACTGTCCACTCGCACGCGTTGAGTGACCCCTCCGTCCTCCCCTTCAAAACTGCCCCCCGTCTGCATGATGAAGACGCCCAGCCTAGTGCCACTTCCACCACCGCTTCCCCTCCCCATTCCTACCACCTCTGGCCCGCATACGACACTCTGAATATGTCGCGCGAGACTATCATGCATTCACTATCCCTCTCTCCTTTTACCCGGGTTCCACGAACGATCACGTCGTCATCTTCGATCTCACAAAACACGCAATACAACGGTGAACCGTCTACCAGATCTGAAAGCCACACCACGGTACTCCCTATCCCGTACTTTATATAGTGTTTTCCATACTTATGGCTATATGCAGACCCCAATGACTTCCCGTACCCGAAAGTCGCGCCGTCGCAGTGCGCAGAAGTCGTCGCCCAATGCGAAATAATGACATTGCTCTTCGAGCACAATACGACAGCATACACGAGCACGTAGGGTCGACGAAGGTAGTACAAGTACGATGCAATGTAATCGTTATATACGTGTCAATGTCTATGAGTCTTGTCAATTGTGTTCATATTATAACATGCACTTGTACAGCTATTATGATTGTTCTGTGTGAACGAACATATTGAATTCGCTACCTCCTATTACCGATAATGCCCCATCGCGATCAAAAGATTATAACCGCTTATTAACTGCTACCACCAACATTACTAGGCACAGTATATTTTCACCGTGTCCTTACCGATACCACACCGCTTACTTTGAGTATGCCTGTAGTGATTGCACATTATCAATGTCAGCGATCACTATTCGTGATCGTAATATTCTGCAATTGCGTATTATGTATTCCGTATATCATTTGTAATCACGTGGAATCGGATGCGGCGGGTCTTCCCGCTGCAATATACAAGTCGTGAGCTCGGCCAATACAGCGTCTGAATGCATCACGTAATTATGAGCGCGGTGTTGCACCGCCGGGCGTTGAGTAGACACGTTCCCACGGAGTGGCGATGTCGATGAACCTCAGGGGAACGACACTTGTATTGCGACTTGGAAAGAACCACGACACCCGTACGTTGTCTGTCTGTACTAATATTCGTGGAGAAATCTGTAAGCAGATATACCGGCGGAGGGAGCATCGAAACACTGAATCCCGATGTGCTATAGTTTGTACCTCAGTTATATAGGCGTTGAACGTTTCAACGTTTCAACTTGGAGCCGGCCTAGATATTATCAGGACACCGCTAGTTCCTCGTATTATAAATAACCTGCGTGTAAGTACGCTCATATGCATTCGCCGTATTGAAGCTCATCGAAATCTAGTGTGGGCTAAGCCAAGCGATCCTCAACGGGTGTTCAGGAAGTCCAATCGAATAGTCGTGCAAGAAGTGCCTGGTCATGCCCACAGCAGTTTCCCCAGAGCCTACGACACCCGCCGCAACAGAGTCTGAGGGCCCGGCTGCACCAGTATCGGTGCATCCTCTGACTGCGGCCCAGGAGCGAAAACTAGTCGATTACCTCGAAGACCAGTTCCTGGATGTCACCAGGAACTTCAAGAAACGGTAAGCTGAATAAAACACGCATCCTAACATCGCTCATCTCGACCCCATCTTCGTTAGGTCAGATCCCACCTCCCCCCTCACCACCCTCCAAGCGTACCTTGAAGCGACACATCATCTGCTCTCCCTTATCCTTCAAATCCCTCCTGTAGACCCCTCTGCGCCACTCCGCACGACCTTGCTCCTACGCCTCTCCGGCGAGGTCCTCCATTCTATCCTCGGATATACCCCCGACGTCGAGACGCTCCCACTCCTCCTTGAGTGGCTAGGCGACCTGGACCAGGCGTGGCTTGCGGTCCTCCGCGCGCAGGCGTGGGACACCGAGGAGTGCAAGGGCGTCGATGCCGTCCTGCCTGAAGGCGCACACGCGACGCCGATGAGCCAGACAGAACGCACGCGCCTCCGGAGTCTGCTTATTTCTGGGGGAGATGGCTTAGAGGAGTGGCTGGAGGGGCTAGATACGCGCGGCGAGGAGAGCCTCGAGGTCACCTTGGAGAGGCTGGGGCTCGAGCAAGCATTCAACGAGCTGTTCGGGGGAACCCTGGCGGAGATGGGCTCGTTGGGGGGCTCAGAGGTGAACGACCCGCGAGGGATGGTCGGGACCTGTTGAGGAGGTCTGAAGGCAAAGCAAGGGGGCATGCGTCGTGTAGCCGTTGCTGTAGCAGTAACCGATGAAGTGTACGCTGTACGAGTAGGGAGTCATTATAGTCTGATTGTATGCTACATCCATCACCACGGGACACTCGGAGGAGGCTCCTCAGACGAGCCCTATGCGAGTCCTGACCTCCTGTATCGTCCCAGCTGACAGCTGCCTTGCCTTCTCAGCTCCCTCACGCGCAACACTCGCCAAGTACTCCGTCTCGCCGCGGAGGCGCTCAAACTCAGCTCGCGGGCCCTTGATGAGCTCCTCCACCGCGTCCGCGACATCCGCCTTGAGCTCGCCATGGCCCTTGTCCGCATAGCGCGCCGCAACCGCGGCGGGCTCCTCGCCCGTGCACGCCCCGAAGATGCTGAGGAGGTTCGCGGCGCCGGGGCGCGCGACGGGGTCGTAAGTGATTCCGAGCGTGGAGTCCGTCACCGCACCACGGATTTTGGTGCGCACTTGCGCGGAGGTATCGGTGAGGAGGATGCGCGAGTTGAGGTCTGGGGACGATTTGGACATCTTCGATGATGGGTCCTTGAGTGAGAGGACTCGGCAAGACGTCGCTGCGCGAGAGTTAGTCAGAGGTGGATGGTAAAGGTTGGTGCACCCACTGATGACATGCTGCGGGAGAGGGAAGAGCATGCGCTTGCCCTTGAACGTGCGGTTGAAGCTGTCTGCGAGGTCCCGGCACAACTCTATGTGCTGCTGCTGATCCTCGCCCACGGGGACGTGAGTCGCACTACACATCGGCCAGGTGTCAGAGACCTAGGTTAACATGACAGAGGACGTAAGAGACGCACCGGTAGGCAAGGATGTCTGCCGCTTGGAGAACGGGGTACGTGAAAAGGCCCGCGTTAAGTAGCGACTCATCGACCTCGGAGTCGTCGCGCGCGTTTCGCGAGGCCGCAAGTCTAGACTTCGACAGCTTCAGTCACAGTGGGATGATAGTGCACGTAGGGAGCGTACCTTCCACGTCGTCATTCGCCTCAGTTTCCCCATAGGCGTGATGCAGTTAAGTATCCACGCTAGCTCCGCATGGTGTAGGTTCTGTTCGAAAGCGAAATGTGTGGGTACGCGGAGCCGCAGGCATACAAGCGTGTGCCTCACTCACCTCGTCCTGGTGGAAGATGACTGACCGCTTTGGATCAAGACCCACTGCAAGGAGGACCGCGAGCATGTCACGTCGCGCCGCGCTCAACGCCTTCGGGTCTTGCGGTAATGTGAGGGCATGCCAGCCGACGATGGAGTATATGAGCTGGTCTTCTGGCGCCGCGTCGCGCTGCAGCTTCACCCAGTTCAACAGGGCGCCCAGGAGGTTCCCTAGCTATTCTCAACAATGTGAGTGTTTTTTCGGTCGTGTTTATTCTGCACACGTACATGAGGTGTGCCTGTAGGCTGAATGCCGGAAAACACCACCCTCGGACGCGCGCGGGACTCCTGCGAGGCTGCGTCGGACGAGATAGCGCTGGTAGCGAGGCCCCGTGTGATGCCTTTGCTGCTACGGGTTGCACGACATGATGAGGCCGCAAGTGTGGCTCGACGCTGGAGCTGCCGGTGGAGGAGAGACATGTGAGCGATGACGCCGGCGGATCGACGTCGGGCTCGGCGTCCGCGTCGCGTCGCGTCTATCATACCGAACTCTCTTCTGTACCGCCTCCATCTGCCTGGACATCGGTCTCCTTGGGTCTCTTGCTATGGTGGGCTACTCTGGGTACGACGGCGACGATGACGACTTCGAGATGCCTGGCGGAGACGATTTCATGGACGTCACGGAGCTGTTCGTAGCGGGTGGACGAGGTATGTGGACTGCTTGTGCCTCGGTGTGGTCATACTCAATGCTCGCGGTGTCATGACTGAAGACATGGAGCCTGAGGAGGTCGTGCTCATGGACAACTTTACGCTCATGGACGCTATGAGTGCTTTCGAGGTAAGAAATCGCTACCGTCCCGAGCAATGTGACAGCGATTCACTGCAAACACTTATACAGATCGGAGAGCCTCGTTTGGACAGTGGGATGGTCCTCGAAGAGCAACGTCGTCCGCCCTTCGACCCACTCGCGCCTCTGCTGCCGGAGGAAGTATGCTGGATCCTGGACCGCAGCTTCGCGTGCGAGGTGAATGACCCCGGCACTGCCCTGTATCTACACAATTTCATGTCGTCTGTACAGATGGAATGGCATGCGGGCAAAACGCTCTCACAAAGCGTATTCACCGTCCTCTTCGTACATCACTTGCCCGACATCAACCCAGAGTACCTCCCGCCGGATGAGCGCGAAATCAAGGACCCAGCACGCCCGCGATGGCTCATTACCGTCGTCTTGCGGGCCGCAATGCTCGGCCTGCTCAAGTGCTGCGACTTTGCGTGGCGTGAGCTGTCCAAAAACAAAGTGCACGATGTCAGTCTTAGATTACTGGACGGTGATCCATCCATAGGCCGCTGAATGTGTGCTGACAGGTAGAAGACTGGCAAGGCGAAAAATGCGACGTTTCTCTCCTGGAAGGCGTCAACGCCGAGGTCGTCTCGCGTATACTCGATTCTGCATGCGAATGGCTTCGCCAGTCGGACCTGACGGAGAGCCAGGTCGTCGCCCTGTGCGACCGGCTCCTCTTGCGCAAGGTGAGGATCGTAAACCGCTCACCCAAACAGCAACTGACCACAATTACAGGCCATCTTGGAACTCTACCGCGCGAATCCCCTGAAAAATAACAACGACATATTATATGGTGTAGCAGCTGGGGTCGGTTTTGTGCACCGAATACGTGGAACCAGCCGCGACTTGGCACCAGACTCACCCGCGCGCCTTGCGTTGGACCCGTATATCGCCCGCCGGCTACCCAACTTCATGCCCATTCGCGCCACCGAGCTGCCATCACATGATGAATCCTGGAATGCGCTTAGCTCGTTCCTCGAGGAGTGGCAAGAAACTCGAAATCTTGTTGCCTCACCCTCGCTCATCAAGTGGGAGGTAAACAACATCATCAGCACCCACGTGAAGTGTACTCATGACGTTCATCCAGGCGGCAGGGTCGCTTCGTTTCGCGCTCGGCAAGAGTGTTGCACCTCCCTTTCACAGGTCACTCATCCAGGCAAGTCCCGGCTCTATACCGCTCACACACCACGGCTAACGACCTCCCCAGACACTGTTCTTCGACAAGAACATCGTCCTCGGGGAATATTCGCCGACGTGGCTAGTCGAACGCTTCTTCGAGGAGACGATCGGATATCCCTACGCATCCATACGACGCGCTCTGGAGAACAACGCGCCCCATACACAACCAGCGTCGACGCACGAAATTATCGAGCGGAGGATTATCAAGGTTCGCTCTCTCATGTCCATGCTACGTTGTGTATCCTAAATAATCAACCGCAGCTCATGACTCCCCACGTTCGATCGAGCTGGTACAATCCGCCACGCCGGAGGCGACATCTCATGAAGGAAGTTCTACAGTGGCATATGCTGCACGAAGTGCTCCTGGACGAAGTCGAACAACGACAACCCGACGTGAGTGCCCATCCCTCGTCCAGCCAAACCTTTCATACGATAAATTCATCAAGAACACGGCTACGGCTATGATTTTGTCGGCGATCCCTCTGGCAGCCCAGCTTGGGCGATTATCTGCCTGCCGAGAAGTCATCATCTCTGGCTTTCAGCAAGAGCTGTACGCACCAGAGGAAAAGCCGATAGCTTATTGGTACTTGTCCCGCGTTCTGGACGCGCACATGAACTGCATAGAGAATCTATTGCCCTTAGTGCCCCCAGGTACGACATCTGTTGCCTTCCCTACGAGGCGTGCTGATGAACAAAGCACAGACAGCACGGCATATCGCGAGCTCACATTCCAGGCGGCGCACCTGTCTGCACTGCAGATGATATCAACGACCCTCGTCGTGGTGAGCCAGCCGCTTGTGTTGAGCTGATTTGCAGTCTGACTTGGTTCTCAGCTCACGGCGGGCTACATTACCTCTCCTTGGCGTCGAATAACGCTCAATTTCCTGAAGAGGTACAAATGGATCTTCAACCCCGACTTCGACGACCTCGTTCCCGCGGAGCCCATCCCGGACTTGCTATCGTTCCCGAACTCCCTGAAGGAGTTCCTCCGGGTAGGCATTTATCTGTCAACGCTACCATATATCTCCAGCTAATTAGTATGCATGCAGGACGAACACTACTCACCCTCAGCTACTTTTCAACTCACAGAGGACATCTGCACCCGCCTCAGCGAGTCTTCCTACGACTGGCTTGGGTCTTGGGCTTCCGATCGCATCGAGGTGAGCACCGTTGCCTATCCTCATAGCTTAGCAGCTAACCCTCGTGGATTCGTAGTACTTGCGCAACCTTGCCAGTGCATGCGACCGTCTCAAGGAGGTCGCCCCTCCCGACATGCGACAGCTTCCCAGCTTCAATTTGATCGATCTAAAGTGGATCCCGGCCGTGCATCCGTGGCTTCCAACAGTGGCTTGATATACAGTATATATACGTAGGTACGCGTTGGGTAATGGTACATAGGGTAGAATAGTCGGTTTTTGGAGAAGTGTTGCACGTGAAGTGATGTACTATTCAGTAGTAGAGTGTAAGTTGAACCCGCGCAGTATGCGTCTCCTACTTGACAGGATACCGGTGAAAGCGCCAAACGTTGAACAAGAAGAGCTTCCCGTGCGCATACGGCCAATGATCTGGTACACAGATATACATCTCATTGCATCTTCTCCTGTACATCGCGTTCATCTCGTAACATGACACTCTTCTCACCCTGTTCACCACTTGACTCTCAGCTTCCAGTCCAGGTCAATCTAGGGGCACGAAGCCGGGACAGACGAGTCGTCCTGGTGGTTCGCAGCGTTGACACCGAGGCCACGAGATGCAAATGCCGTCCAGAGCGTGCAGAAGTTCGCCCCGCCGAAGCGGATCGCGTCCGCCTGGATCCACGCGTCACGCGCCGTCAGGACTGGCAGAACTCATCAGCATCGTCGTGGATGAAGAGAAGCCGGGTACCTACAGGTCGGGTTGCACGGCTGCAGGGACAGCGCATCGAAGAAGATGTGGAGGAAGACGGTGTTGCCGCCGGTCGTCCTGTGCACGCCAGTGGTCAAGACATTGTGCATTTCGCGTTTTGCCGTCATCTCACACTTACGTTGCGTCGGTGTGCGCTGTGGCCGAGAAGCCGTGTACGCCAACGAGAGCAGCGTACACATTGTGGAGCATATTGGCCCAGACCTCCCCGATGGCTGGTCACATACAATATTGAGTGATCTTTTCACGAATGATTGTATGTATGCGCACCGTGCGACTCAAACAACGTCTGCAGGCTCGAATACCTGGAGTACAGATGTGCATCATGAGGATTGATCTTCGCTCTACCAAGCTCATGCGGCATACCTCAGGGGGTTGACAGCCCTGCGAAGATTAGAACGCGTTAACATCGGGGCCACAAATCAGAGGATGTGTTACCCACGGGTCCGTCGAATACGGGTGGCTGCGGATTCCGGCGGGGTTGTTGGTGACATACTGGCCCAAGATGTAGTCCGGGATCGTCGCGTCCTTTTGCTCCGTCCACCTTCGCCATTCTCGTTAGGGTGGGACCGCATGTCAAATCATCAGGATACTCACTCCGCAAACGCGTCGGACCATCCCTCTCCCAAGCCTTGGGCCTCCAGTGTGACCAGGCAACTAGCACGAGATACATCAGCTGAGGACTGGACTTTGCCAGCAACGCACGTACGCTGCAGTACCACCGCCAGTCAGCCGGTTCGTGATACCGTGCGTGTTCTCGTGCACAACGATGTCGTTCTCAAGTGCACCGTCGCGGAACGGGTTGGTGAGAGTCCAGAGGAACATCCGCATGCGTCCAGATTGACCGCTGAACAGATGCATCAGTTGGCCGCAATTCGCCATGCAGTATAAGTATTTCACAACGGCACTCACTCCGGAGGCGTCGCGAAGTCAGCTACACATTTTTTTTCGATCAGCACACTTCTCGCTCATGCATCCTCGGCACCGTTACTTACCATTATTGACCCCGGCGGCGTCCTGTACAGATACAGTGACGCGGTCGTTGCCCGCGCCGCCTTTGCCGAAGTTGTTGCTCTGGAAGTTGAAGCTCGGCTCCGTGAACCCGTAGAGGTACGAGATGTCGTGCACGGTATTCACGATGTAGAACGTGTTTGTGCGCGCCGCGTCGATATTCACCTGCGCGGTGGGTGCCTGTGTCGAGTCCTGCGGATTGATGAAGTTGAGCACAGCCGACGACTCAGTGGTCGTGTTCGCTTGCAGACCCTTGAACGTGATGACGTTGTTTCCACTGTGCCGCAAGGTCAGTATGCAAGCGGGGGGGGAGGGGGGGAGGGGGGCGTACGCGGTGACGGTCGTGGTGGTCGTGCCGTCGCTGTGCCACCCCGCAGGAGAAGCGGCAATGTTCTGCGGGTCGGTGACGACCTCGAAGCCGTCCGTCGGGACCTCCTTGGTGATCGGGAGCACGAGATACTGCGATCCAAGCAGTCAAACGCTGCCCGCGCGTAAATGAACGAGAGCAGGACTGACCGAAGCTTTCGCGACAAAGTCTGTCAGCTGGACGATCTCGCCGGAGTGCGCATCCACGAACGCCTGGTACCATGCGCCGGTATCGTCGTTCTGGATCTGGACGACGTGCGTGAGGGCGAGCGAGCCGTCCTTCTTCGCAACGAACTCGAGCGTGGCTGGGTGCTCGTTGAACTTGCCCGAGAGCTGGCTCTCGGCCGTGGAGATCGCATCCTCCAGGGAAACGGAGGGCGTGGTCGACGGGACGGAAGCTAAAAATGTTGTTAGTAGTATCAGAGCATCAAAGTTGAATAGCACTCGCAGAGGCGTACTTGAGTTAACGAATGAAGAGCCGAAAGATACGACTTGGTTCGCCTTGTTGAATGCCACGTTCGCAACGGCGTTGGCGATGGTGACGCCATTCTGCACATGAATGGTATAGTGAGCGTTGATACAGGAAGTGAAGCGAGTGTCACATACAACTTGCTGTTCAACGTAAGCGTGGTGCGCTACGTCGTTCTCGAAGCTTGTCCTGAAGCTGACGGTGTCGGGGTGCACGTTGAGGCGGGACTGGATGAAGGACACGGTCGCTGCCTTGACATCGAACTCGTCCCGAGCCGAGAGTGGGTGTGTAATGCCCTCGACACCGAAAGTCTACAAAATTGAACGCTATGAGTGACTGGCCATATCGATGAAATTGGAAAATATGGCTGACCTCGAACGAGGATTCAGGGTAGAAGCTCTCGACGACAAGGTCACGGATCGAGTGCTTTCGAGTGCTAGTGTGCTTCAAGCTGCCCATGAAGGGGGCCGCAGAAACAATAGTAGCGAACACGATCGCCAGCAGGACGGACTTGAAGAAGCTGGACGAGAACTTCATGTTTGTGGGTCTTGATCTGAGGGAGTGCTGAAAGCCTGGGAGCGATAGAAGGAACCAGGACTCGTCAGAGGGTGGTTGCCTGGCGTACTACATCGCTCGCCCCTCCTCATATTTGTACTCGACCCCTTGGAACTGCAAGGGATGGCGTAAAGATCGCAGTGACGCAGCCCTGAAGGAAAAAAAACCCGTGCGCCGCGTGGTCGTGCCCTGTTCAATGGGAAAATGCGGCGTCGTGCAAGTCGTGCGACTTAGACTTCCCTACCGTCGCTATTAGGTGCTGAAGCGCTGACAGCGAAGTACGGGGACAATAATCATCCAGGGGCCGGTGATTCTGCAGCCGGTGGGAGGTTGAGGAGCACAACGTAAGTGCTCCTTCCAGAGATCTAGTGGGCATTCCGTGAAAAAAGATGCGGTGTATAGCACGCACACTTCACCTGTGAAGTAACTTCAACATCTTCGAGTTCTCGTCGTATATACGGAGTCAACTAGAGGAGGACTTACTGATATACGTTGCATTTTGATGCCAGCACTTTAGATGCATACGCAAAACCATAATACATGTCTAGATGGCATAGTTCTCTGGAAGTAGCAGCATGGTGTGCGTGGCCGTTATCATCATTTGGTCTTGCAATCATCACCACGAAAGCGTTCCAGTCCAGTGGATGACATCTACTGTCAGCTAGCATTGTACATGTGGTGCAATGATAGCTGATATCCTGTGTAGCAGGAGGGACCACGTCGTCTTTGTCGTCCCGGGCTTATTATCAGAGCCCTTCTGCAGAAGCTGCCGGGAACGTGCGGGACTACTACCGAGTGAGTTTGGGGTTGCCTTCTGGGGCCGTCAGGTACGCCGGGTCGAGTGGAACCAAAGACGCGTTGAGTAAACTCTTCATCTCGCGGGGCCCGTTCGTCGTTAAAGCGGTTTGGAATGGTCCTCAGCGCCTAAAGATCGAGACATGCTGCACGTTTGAGCGTTCGAGGACTTCCAGGACTGCCTTTCGCACGTCGTACTTGGCAAGAATCAAGGGTAGCGCACGAAATCATGAGAGACATTGCCCTGGCCAACCAGCGTGACGTACGAGAAGCGCTCAAGGGGAGGAAGGATTCGCTGTACACCAGTACACGAATGACAGCGCAAGGGAAAGGCAGAAGCACAGTGCGGCCGCTAGAGAAAAACACATGGGTGTTATGGGGAAAGAGCGCCGCGAGCGACGGTGACGGCGTGTATGAGATGGGCGCGAGGATGCCATCGTGGACGTTGCCGAAGAAGTGAAGCCGTGGGTCTGCAGCGGCTTCTGCTGAGTATGAGCGCAGTGCCGGACACGTTTTCAGACGAATCTTGGCTTCGGGGTGGTCCGGGCTACGCCGTATCGTACGAGGCTGTATGCCAGGCGCCCAAAGGTAGTTGTACATATGGAGTTTGAGGTTCGAAGGCCGAGAGCCCGACGCGGGCAGGAGTGAAAGCAAAAGAGAGGCGACGTAGAACACTGACAAGCACCAACCTACAATCGCTGGCTTCAGAGGTGACGTTATTTCGAGACTTTCTCCTGTAATGTATAGCGGTCAGCAACGGTAGACATAAACAGTGGGCTAACGGTTATGTCCTCGGATATTTGTAACGATTTCTGCGCACATAGGCCTCTTTGTTGAACCCACTCCAGAGTTGTGGCCTGCTATCAAGAAGCGTTCAGACTCGTGTTTGTTGCAGAGAGGTCTTGCAATCGGAGTCGCTGCATTCGGCCTGCATTCCTGGATATAAAACCACATCTCGCTGGCGGCATGATGCATGAAATGTCACCATTTGATAGGTGCGTGCGTCAAGTTCTGCGGATAGCCATGAGTAGCCTCCTGCAGCCACACTATTGCCTTCCCAGCCGAATAGATCGAAGAGAACTCACGGAACAGAGACACGTTTAATCAGAAGTACGACTTCACTGATTCATCCTTGAGCGATATAGATTGTCGCTGTAGTTCCTCACCAAGCAAATGGTGGCAAAACTTCCGGGCAAGACACCATATATCTGGGCGTCATCCCACCGAGCGCTTTCGACAGCAGAGCGCCTTCGGCTGGAGAGGATCCCTGAAAATGCCTAGTAGTGCCTAGGTGTTGTAGCAAGCGATAAATCGAGTCGTCTAGAGTGAAAGCGAGTGGATTGCGTTTTTCCCGTACATTAGCGTCATGGTACGGAGGCAAACGGATACCAGCGTACAAAAAGGGTCTCCCGCATGATACTGAACGCTTCGGCATGTGCCGGCGAGCAGGCGCTCGCTCGCTCAAATCTAAAACTCAACACCAGGGGAGACCTTGGACCTGAACCACCACCATCAATGATGGCCGGGGCTCAGCGGCTCGCCCATGCAAGAGGGCCCGAGGCGCAGTTTCGAACGAAGCTGTAAAGAAGTCGATTCCTGCGCTGCCCCTCAGACTGGAAGAAGGCTTCTCTATAGGAGATCGCCACTGTAGCTATCTGCTATACGTGCACTGGAATCAGAGCACCTATACCCCGCAACGCAGCGAGGGGAGTCTGCTGGCGTGCCGCGGATAGCGCCCGAAAGCCGCCAAACAATGGCAAATACTGCAGCCACAGTGGCTGAAATACCGCTACACCGGTCGTGCGGGCGCGAAATCCGACTGCGAGCGCCTGAGTATGAATAACAGATCAGTGCGAAGGCTTCCCCCGCCGAATTAGGAAGGTCAATGTGTTCGCTATGAGCTCGACTCGGCGAGCATGTACAATAGCAAGCCTACGCCCATTGACGATATAGAAATTGACACGTCCAAGACGAACAAGGAACCCCATGGCCTGGAAGATGGCGATGACTACGGAAATTGCGTAAGGTGCTCACTGGATCCCTGAAAAATACGCGTCGCTTAAAAACAAGCGGACGTGAACCCCACCTTCCCCTGCTTCCTCAATCCCCCAGAATGTGTTGAATCAGCAAAAGCGTGTGTAGCGTGCCGGCAAACGCGCTAAACAAGCGAACCAAGAAACAACAAAACCACAGTCTTTTCGCATCACCCCAACCCCTTCCCATCTTCCGCACTACACCCAGGATGACCCAAACCACCCGCTACACGTTCCTGTACGTCGGAGAGACGAACGATGGTCCAACCCCACCCGACGCCGCCATATCCCGCCACCAGCTCCTCCTATGCCCATCTCAACCACTCGAGATAGGTTCACGCATCTTCCTCAACCATGTCCTGAATGCCCCGTCCACAGTCCCCTTCTTCCCCACAACCGTCCGCCTCCCGCTCATCACTTTCTTCTCCGACGTATGGGGTGCGGTGATAGGCGTGAACGCACAGAATAGATGGGAGGTCGAGTTCGTGGTAGAGAACTGGAACATTGACGCCCAAGTCAAGAGGGCGTACGTTCGAGTCCCGCGCTACCCAGGAATTTCGATTGCTCGAGACATCTGGGCCTCATTTATGGAGACCCTTCTGGAACGGATCCACGAGGTGAGCTGCACAACGCAGGCCGAGACCTATCTGACGTCAGTACACATGGCCGAGCAGACCGAGGGGAGGGAAGACAAGCCAGCCTACACGCGGAGAGTGGAGCACGCAATCACGACATCACCCGACCTGTACACGCCGACAGTCGAGCCGAACAGTGCGACCATACCGACCCCGCCGGAGACCGAGCTGATAACGCCACCGCAGTGGGAAGACAAATTCTACGTATGGATACCGGAGGATGCCGGAAGGAACCCGGAGAGGGGAAGCTTAGAACAAGTGTCTGCGCACCGCCCCTTTGCGAACGACGTGTAACTCCCACTCTGAAGCAACCATCTTGTTCACGAGCCCATGACGACGAGCGCTGAAGGCCTGGTACACTAGGATGAGAAGCATAGCCTAGACCCTCAACAGCGGTAAGGTAAGTCTTCCGCACTGATAACGGGTGGAGTAACAGCAGTGCGAACTACCGAAGCTTTCCGCGTATCTCATACGACCGTACCCACATACACCGGTAAGCACATGCTCCACATACAAGCACATTAATGATGTATGCGAAACAGGCGAGGAATAGTAGACCGCCAAATCACAAACGAGGCATCACCGAGATGGCGAGCAGAACGACTCAAATGAATAATGCCGACTGACTCGTGCGCAACGCACGGGCCCAAGGAGGGACAAACAAACAGAGGCGAGAACAGTATAAAAGATGCGCAAGGTGAGAATGAAATCCCCCACCACTCGTTGGCCTCTCATCCGCTCGCTCTCCCCCACATCCCACAGCGCCCCCCCATCGCCCTTGATCCTGCACCTGCCGCGATGCCCGAGTCAGCCACCCCGCGTACCCCGAACCCCTTCGACGACGACCAGAGAATGCGAGAGGCTTCTCCTCGCGGCAACAACGAGGGACAGACCCAGGCAAACAAACGGCCTCGCACGGATTTTGGCACTGCGGCAGTTGTAAGCACGGCCCCGGCTTCTCCTGAAAGGCTCGCGCTGAGGAAAGTCCCCAACCGGCAGGACCTATGGGAGAGAGAAGCGCAGGAAGCACCCCCTTGCCCTCCTATGCCGACGATACCGAGCGGCTGGAACCCATGGAACTCCCCGTACGACCCGAAGCTCGATCCCGCGGTCTTCGCGGGGATGCCGACGGGGCGCGGCGCGAACCCGCACTTCAAGATGTCGCGCGCGGGTGCAACTCCTCCCCTCCCCCTCCTACCGCACCGCCCATTCCCGGAGGGACCGTTCGAGATCGCGCCGATCCCTGCTGCGGACTTCCGAGGCAACCTGAGCCCTCAGCAGCTCGAGGAACTCGACCGGATGAGAACCACCGAAACCATCCTCGCCCTGATCCCCCACGGGGCAGGAAAGGCGGTCAATCTCAACGCGTCCACGATCATGAAGGACGCGGAGAGCTTTATCGGATCCCTCGCCTTCGAGGAGAACGATAGGATGGCCTACCGGGTCACTGTGCACCCGCCGGACATGCGCAACAGGGCGGGCGGGTGGAACGCGAACCCATTCGGCAAGCCCTGGGTGTTCTTCCTCCAGCTCCCGAAGGACGCCTCTCCCCTCCGAGATTTCCTCCTGTGGCAGCGCGTCTTCGCGGTGAGCAAGACCGTCTCGTTCACCGTCTACGACCTCGACGAGGATGTCCAGTGCTGGGACCACCACGCCATCACCGGGATGCGGATCCGGAACGGCATGTCCCACGGGGAAACCCTCGACCAGAAGGTCATGCTGCTCACGGCGATCAAGCATGACATCTGCGCGTCCGACAAGTTCCGCGCGTTTGCAGCGAAGATGGCGTACACGAACCTGAAGCACACCGGAGATCTCGAGGAGGTCCTCAACACGCTGACGAACACCTTCCACCTCGAACGGACCGAGGCCGTCGACGACTCTGGCAGCATGATCCCCGCCTACGTCCTCCTTGCGCGCCCGCCCACAGCGTCGAAGGAGGAATACATGGAATGGTGCAGCTACTTTACGTACGACTCCGTCAACAACTGCGCCCGCGAGGCCTATCGGACTTCCATGCAGCGCTTCGACGTCGCCTTCCTCCCCGTCCGAGTCTGGTGCGAACTATGCAAGTCGCGCATCCACTGCACCGCGCGGTGCCCGTGGCCGAGCACCGAAGGCTGGCTCGGGACGACTGCCGCAGACCTCGGCGTCCGAACGGCCCCTGGATCCAATCCGCCATCGCTCACCGGCCCAGCCGGTGTCGTCCTCACCCCACTCATCCTCTCCTTCCGGCAAGCGTCCGCCGCCATAACCCCAGCGCAGGCCGGTCCCGCTGGACCTGCCGGAACCACCAGAGGCCGAGGCAGGGCAAACAACCCGGGACGCGCGCGTGGCAGAGGCACCGGACGCGGTGCGCACGGGGCTAGAGGCGGGCGGGGCGGGCGCGGAGGGCCGTAAGGCACGAGTAGACACACTCCGCCCATAGATATGCGCCGAACATCATGTACCCCATCTAGAACAACGTAATCTCATCCCTATGCTGACCTTGACTCACTCGGAAAGGTGTGCGAACGCTACAGTATCCGTCCATACAAGAAATACCTGGCAAGAACAGGTACAACTAACCCGTAGATTCTAGTAGACAGCTCCGAGTCCCTACTAACGATCTGCGGAATGAACAACACAGGCGAAGAGGCCGCGGCCTAGCAAGCCACGGTGTAGCCACAACTGCGACGAACAACGAATACTACGAATCAATCCCAACAAACCCCGACGGTATCGACATGGCAACCGGAATAGCGACGACGTCCTCTAGAAGGGGGAGGGGCGAACCCGCGGCTCCTTCCCCTCGGGACGGAGGCGGCGAATTGGACAGTGGGAGTATGTCTCGTGAGGGAAGCGGGAGAACGGGAAACCGTGAGCCTGCACAAAGCCCGAACCGAGCGCAGCCTCAACCAGAGAGGCCTGCAACGTCTATTAGACACGCCGTGAATACGGAATCGCAAATGCGAGGGTCATCCTGCGAGGAAAACGGATTGCGAGAACAGCGCGAGACGGACCACAGAATGCGCGAACGCGCACCACAGCACGGTGTAGGTGAACACCCGCAAAATGCTAGAAGCAACGAGAGCGTGAATACATGCCAGCAAGAACCAAATTGTGAAACTGCAAATAGACCACCGCCGCGAGCGGGGAGACGGCGTGCAGAGAGGCTTGCACAGAGAAGTACAGTACGTGTTGCAACATTAAACATGAACGGGTTCGGCTCCCTTAGACCAGAGCATCCTGATAACAAATGGAAAACGATGTACCGAACAATAAAACAGAATGCGATCGGTCTGCTCCTCCTGCAGGAAACCCACCTAACAAAAGAAAGACAAGCAAGTATAAAAAGCATGTTTAAAGGCCGTTTAAAAATCCTCTTCACTGAGCACCCAGAATCCCCGACACGGAAGGAAGGTGTGGCCGTGGTGATAAATAAAAGCCAAATGAACGCGGCGAATACTAAAGTAGTAGTGGTAGTTGCCGGACGAGCACTTCAAGTAACAGTACAGTGCCTCGGCGGGGACGAGCTTCGAGTCCTGTGCATATATGCCCCAACCTCAGACGGAGTCGCCGAACGCCAGGGATTCTACCAGAAAGTAGAAGAATTCTATACCGAGAACCCAGATATCCCCAAGCCACATTTAATGGCAGGAGATTTTAACAATACGGAAGAATACCTTGACCGCATACCTGTAGCGGAACCAGACGCCTCCCTAGCCAGCCTAGATAATCTGAAAGTCAGTCTTGGCCTGATGTTAGCAGACGGATGGCGAATGACCCACCCAAACACGAGAGCGTACACATTCCACAGAGGAACAGGAGCGAACGCGACCTGCTCCAGACTAGACAGAATCTATACAACATGTGAGATATTCGACCGAGCGCGAGAATGGAACATACTAACCCCAGGGGTTAAAACAGACCACTCACTGGTATCCGTGCAGCTGACGATGGAGAGCGCACCGATTGTGGGTAAAGGACGACCGTCATTCGCACTCGCGCTGTTGAAAGACAAAAAGCTCGCAAAACAAATGAAGGCATCTGGAATAGAAGCGATTAAGAAACTAGGTGAACTTGAAGCGAAAGGAATCAGAAATGATGAAAACAACGCACAAATAATCCTATATGACCTAAAAACGGCGCTCCTGGAGCTCGCCCGAGCACGTGAGAAAGAGAAAATCCCGAAGCTTCTGGCACAAGCGAAAACCCTTGAAATGGAGTACAAGAAGCTAGAACTTGAAGAGTCAGCGAACGAGAGCAAAAGGGCGGAGGAACTAGCGAAACTTACGAAGCAAATAAGCGAACTCAAAACGAGGCAAATCCACTGGCAACAGGCGAACAGCAGAGCGAAGCATCAACTCGAAGGCGAGCGCCCGACAAAATACTGGACAAGATTACACAAGCCGTGTGCACCTAGGGATGTTATCCTAGCGTTCGAACGAGAGGAATTAACACAACCTGGACACCCAAAGATATATGAGAACAACTCAATCAAAATGGCTGAGATGGCGAGGACGTACCATGATAACATACAACGGGACGATGCGGGGGTTCCCCCGAACGAGACACGAGAACAAAACATCCGTGAAGCCATGCGGAGCCTCGAAGCAAGGTTGGACTGTAATCAGGAAAGAGAGATGAGTGCTGACATTTCGTACGACGAGTGCGAACTAGCCCTACGCTTCTCAAAGAGCGGCACCGCCCCAGGGAAGGATGGAATTCCGTACGAAGTATGGAAAACCCTGAGTGCGAGGTTCACCGAGGATAGCCGACACGAAGGGCGACCGGTGTTCGATGTACTACGCCTAATAAGAGCCGCGCTCCTGGACATCCAAAACCACGGAGTCGCGACAAAGTCCCCCTTTGCGGATGGATGGATGGCCCCGATCTACAAAGAGAAAGGGGAAAAGACGAGAATAGTCAACTATAGACCGATAACGCTCCTAAACACAGACTACAAATTACTCACAAAGATCCTTGCCCTCCGACTAGCGGCGGCAGCGCCGGACTTAATACATCCTGCACAAGCAGGTTTTGTTCCCGGGAGAAGACTCCACAACCACACTCAACTCGCGCGAATGATGATCTCCTGGGCCGAACGAAATGAAGTTAATGGTGCTATTGTAGCCTTAGACCAGGAAAAAGCTTACGATAAGATCGCGCACGACTATCTGTGGTGTGTACTAACTAGATTCGGAATCCCAGACCGATTCGTAAACACGGTAAAATCACTATATGCGAACGCGAAAACGTCAGTACTGATTAACGGAGTCCTAAGTGAGCCCTACAACGTTACGAGAGGTGTTCGACAGGGGGATCCCCTATCCTGCCTGCTCTTTGACCTGGCTATAGAACCTCTATCAGCAATGATACGGGGCGCAGATATTAAAGGTATTCACATACCACGGTGTAAAGAAACCCTTAAAGCGACACTGTTTGCAGACGATACGACCGTCTATATGTCCGAGGATGATGACTTTGACACCCTACAGAAAGTGCTTGATACCTGGTGCGGAGCAGCGAAAGCCCGCTTCAACTTGAAAAAGACAGAAGTGATACCAATCGGATCGACAGAGCACCGTAACGAAATAATAAACGAATACCGAACTAGAGGAAGATGGAAAGATTACCCTAGAAACGTGCACGTAGCGGCCGATGGTGAGCCAGTCCGCATATTGGGTGCATGGTTTGGAAACGGAATTGAAGAGTGCGGAATTTGGCTCCCTAAGATAGAGAAGATAAGCAACGCAATCGTCCAATGGAAACGGTCCCGACCGACATTAGAAGGCAAGCGACATGTAGTACAAATGATCGTGGGCGGGATGTCGCAGTTCTTGACCGACGTACAAAGAATGCCGAAAAGTGTCATCGCAAGACTTAATAAACTCACCAGGAAGTTCCTATGGGAGGACAAGACGTCCCCGCCTGTAAGCTTCGAACAGCTCCTAATGCCTATTGAACAAGGCGGCCTAGGCTTATTAGATCTGGCCTCCCGGAACGAGGCAATCGACTTAATGTGGTTAAAAGCATACCTGGATTTCAGCGAAGAAAGACCATGGTGGGCGTTCATCGCCGACGACATCTTGGCGGAAAATGTAGCAACTGTATGCACGCCGCAGGATGCAGAGCTAAGAATTAACCCGTTCCTCCAGCACTGGAAGCCGATCAAAACCGGGCTCCCGCCCGAACTGAGAGCCATCATCGAAGTGGCGCGAACGAACGGTCTACGGCTGGAGGGGCGAGCTTTCTCAAGAGAAATTATACGAGCCATGCCAATGTGGGATCACTCCGAGGCCGACAAAACGAAAATTCGCCGACTTGGCAGCAGGTCAGCGGCGACTGCGTGCCTCAAAGACACCCACGGAGCGAGAACGGTGGGGGATTTTGAACGGATCGCGGCGGAAATGGGCGACCCGAGCCACGAGCAGTCGAGGCAATGCGAGTGTGATAGATGCACGTACCTCAAATTGGAAACGGGATGTAGATCCCCGCAGGAATGCTTTGAGCGGGCACGAGCTTTCCTAGATACCCTCCCACAGAAGTGGGATCCAAGGGGGGAACATCCCTGCGACTATGAAGATGAGGGTATGAAAAATGTCGAAAATATCTTTGAAACAGAGGAGTACTCACCGGTTATCTTCGATCGACGAGTAACGACAACTGGAAGCCTGGGAAATGCTTTCCGCATATTTACGGGGCCCCAGGACACATGCAATACCTTGCCTGATGTGACGATTATGGAGAACGACATGGTGCAGGAGGTTGCGACCGATGGGGCATGTGAAAGAAACGGGGAAAGGAATGCCTCCGCTGGAGCAGGGGTATTCTTCGCACAAGGAGACAACAGAAACCGGGCATTCCGAATACCGAAAAACATTGAACAGTCAAACCAAACTGGGGAGGCAGTGGCCGCCCTACAAGCGGGAAAGATGGCGGACCCCACCAGACCACTACTGCAGATAACAGACTCGAGAACAACCATGGACGCTGTGACGAAGAGGAGGATAAAGTACGAAGATGAGGGATATTTCACGCAGAAGAACGGTGAACTTACACGAGCAATCGTGAGTGAGGTCTTCCGAAGGCGCGCGCACACGGCATTCTGCTGGGTCAAAGGTCACAATGGCCATCCTGGGAATGAAGCGGCAGACGCTCTCGCTGGGGCTGGAGCGAAGAAGAACCGGGAGGATCAAATTAGCCTTGAAGAAGACCCGACAACCCGATTAACGGGCGCAAAGCTAACAAAACTCACGCAGAAACTGGCGTACAAGGTAATACGAGCGCGCAAAGCTGCGAAAACGAAAGCAAGGCCGAGGACGGCGGAACGGGTAGAACGCATAATGAAAGACCTAGACGAGGACTTTAAAATTCAAGTGACGGAGGCACACCTGTGGACGAGCCTCAGGAAGACGTACGTGTCGAAAGAAGCGCGCCAATGGATGTGGTTGACGATCCACGACGGATACATGGTCGGTTCACATTGGCTAAGGCCGAAAATGAGCGACGAGTTGCGTGAACGAGCGTCCTGTAAAGCATGCGGTCAGCTGGAATCGATGGAACACATCCTATTCACATGTAACGCATGTGGGAGAGAGGTCATATGGAAGCTGTTGAGCGAGCTGTGGGAAAGCACGGGCCTGCGACCGCCTATACCATCGTGGGGCTCAGTTCTGGGAGCAGCGTGTGTAGCAATGAGATCCCCAAACGGTGCACGACAACCGGCGCTAGAGCAAAGATGGGCGACACTCGCCATCGAGTCCGCTCGACTAATATGGAAGCTCAGATGTGAAAGAGTGATCGCGAAGAACGGTGATGAATTCCCTGAGGTGGAAGTAACAAATCGCTGGTACGCTGAACTAGAAAGACGACTACACCTAGACCGAAGGATAGCGGCGCTATCCCATGGGAAGAAGCGTAAGAAACATATACGAAGACTGGAGGAAGTCTGGAGCCCCCTACTTGCTGAACGGGGGAATCTACCACCCAACTGGGTAACGAAAAGCGAGGTTTTAGTGGGTATTAAGCGAGGGAATGGATGAGAACCGGTAACGTGTACTCAGATGAAGCTCCCGATGACCTTCGAGTCCCACACGCAGTGCGTAAATGCATTTCCCCGCGGAATGGTGAAGAATTTAGATTATCTGTATGATCTGTGAATACCGGGGTTCGTGCTTCCCTGGAAAATCACCTAGCGTACTCCTTGCTTCCACCACATGCTCAGATGAGCTTACTGGAAGCAGGAGCCCAAGAAACGCCCAACCAAAAAAAATAAAACTCAACACCATGAGGTGGACCGTCGCGTTCGCTGAGTGGGATTTCAACCCCCAGAGCCTATGATAATCTATTGTTGAAGTATCGGAATCCGGAGCGTCCGGAATATACTCCCGCCTCGAGGCTCGCAGTACTTACTTACAGGCTCTACCGAGTCAAAGCGGCGAAGACGGCCCGGGCGTCAAGCTTTCAAAGTTCGAGAGTTTCCGAAGCGACCTCAAGGCCTCACTCTCCGCAGCTTAGCCGATCTCTTCGCAGACCTCCATCTCCGTGTTCCGCGAGAACGATCAAGGGGAGAAAAGAAATGGACGGCAAGACACCACCAGCTGTGCTGACGATCGCCGGCTCCGATTCTAGCGGAGGAGCCGGCATTCAAGTGAGTGTGCTGAACATCTGCAAGCCCACACAGAGACTCAACGAGGGGAAACGATATAGGCGGATCTGAAGGCGTTCACCGCCTTTGGGTGCTATGGCATGTCCGTAATCACTGCGCTGACCGCGCAGAACACCACCGGTGTACAGGGGGTGCACCCTTCGCCGCCAGAGTTCGTCGAACAGCAGGTTGGAGGCCCCGATTTATGACACAAAATGGAGGGATCTTCTAACAATGGTTGTAATAGCTACGCTCTGTATTGAGCGACGTTCCTGCGCAAGGAATCAAAACCGGGATGCTTTTCGACGCGGCCAATACGCGCGCAGTTGCCCGCACGCTCAAGTCGCACTACGCCAACGCGTCCGACATACCGCCACTAGTAGTCGATCCCGTCTGCGTCTCGACCTCGGGACACACTCTGCTCGCTCCAGACGCGGTCCAAGTTCTCATCGACGAGCTGTGTCCATTGGCGACGCTCATAACGCCCAACAAAGCGGAAGGCGAACTGATGCTCTCCCAAAAAGGCGTCGTGGTCCAGATCACCTCGCTCGAGGACATGATCTCCGCCTCAGAGAAGCTCCTCCACCTCGGCTCAAAGGCGGTACTCCTGAAAGGCGGACACGTCGAGCTGACCCTCGCCGACGTCGAAAGGGTGGCCGCCGGGCGCGCGGACATCACCGTCGTGCGCGAAGAGTTGCTGCTCGAGAATATGGAAATCCTTAAGGTCCACGGAAAAGACCTCGAGTCACATTCTTTGGTTGTAGACGTGCTCAAGGAGGCCGAGAGCACTACATTGTTCGTCAGTCCGCGGATAGAGTCGACAAGCACGCACGGGACTGGGTGCACGCTCTCTGCGGCGATCGCTTCCTTACTCGCCAAGGGATGTTCGCGTGAGTATTCGGCAGCACTTAGATGGTACTCAAAGGCTCACAGTATGTAGTGGTGGAGGCGACACGCCAGGCCACTTCGTTTACACACGTTGGCATCGAGACCGCGTTCCCCGTCGGAAAGGGACATGGGCCGCTCAACCATCTCCATGCACTGACTCCACGCATCATCCCTCCGTGTGTACCACATATCGCCATACTATGACGCGGGAACTGATAAAGCGAAACAGACCGACGGCGACAAATCCTCACCCGCTCACGCGCATTTTGATCCAATCGGCTGCCAAGACGTGGAAGGACTACGTTGAGCACGACTTCGTGAAGCAGCTTGCGCAGGGGACACTCCCTCGGCAATGCTTCCTGCACTTCATCAAGTAGGTCCTCCCATATATCCACCCAGGGCATGTCACTCACGCATAACACCAGACAAGACTACCTCTACCTAAAATATTACGCCCGGGCATACGGGTTAGCGACGTTCAAACCTGTTCTGTTCTACACTGCTCACCGGCGCCGTTGATTCGATGCAGGCTCCTGGTCGCGAAGTCCTCGACGTACAGCTCGATCGAGTCCGCTACGCAGACGATCGTCAACGTGATCAACGAGGTCGCGACGCACAAGGCGTTCTGCGCGCAGTGGGGCATCAGCGAGGCGGACCTTGCTGCGACGCCTGAGTCGCCCTCGACGACGGCGTATGGCGCATACCTTCTCGACACCGGACTCCAAGGTGAGCCTTCCCCGTCTCTGCTTGTAGAGCAGAGGCTGACCTCAATACACAGGCGATAGTGCCAAGCTGATCATGGCGCTTGCCGCGTGCCTACTTGGATATGGCGAGGTCGGCCTGTGGCTGAAGAAAGAGGCCGCGAAGCCGGGGAGCTGGGTGAAACTTGAAGGCAACGTCTATCTCCGGTGGATCGAGGACTATTCTGGAGAGCAATACCAGGGCGCTGTCAAACTGGGGCTCGGTGAGTGCACGAGTGAACGTACGTGGTTTGGCACGATGGGAGCTAACTTTTGCGCGTTACAGAAACGATCGAGGCGCTCGCGATGGAGGACCCGCCGAATGCGCACCGCTTCAAGGAGTGGTGTACCGTGTGGGAGAAGTGCACGCGCCTCGAGAGGGGGTTCTGGGACGCGTCACTGAACCTCTTGTGAGGGTATGATTTGAAGAGAAGACGAGATACGGGACAGATAAGTATACTACAGGGATATTAGAAGTTGGTGTAGATAGCGAGGGAAAGCAGAGCAGCACGAAAGCGATGTATCGGTAGCCACGAGATAAATGTCAAGAATTAGAGGATTGGGCTGTCCGCAGGGCTAGGATATGTCTTCTTCCTTTACGTTGGGCTCTATCTTGTAGAGGAGTTGGGAATCCGTAGGAGTCAGGGTCGCTTGCACCACGACTTTTGTGTCCTCTTCGAGCTCGACTTCGATCTTCGGGCCGGAGGTGGTGGAAGAGACCTTCTTGCTTCTGCTCTTGCTCGTGGAAGCCTTAACCACCTTCCGCGCACTAGGGCAGAGACCGTCGTTCAGTTCGCATGTGTCGCACTTCGGCCCGACAGGGAGGCATATCATCTGAGGGGTGCGCGTGAGCTGCCGAGGCGGAGTGTTGAGCCTGAGGCAGACGCACCTGTCCGAACCCGACGAGCAGGTGATTGATCTCCGGGTGCAACTCGAGAGGCAGCCATGATTGGAGGTTAAGTCTATCGGAGTGGGTGCCGGATCGTCAGTGACCCCAGGTTCATTAAGTGGCACGAATAGGGACTGACCGTGTTTCCTCGGGTGTCTTCGTCGGCGATTTGTGCCAACCGAGACGGTTCGTGATCCTGTGGACGTGCACATCGACACCTATCCCCGCGTTGCTACAGCGCGCCATGAGGTCAGCATGAAACATGAGCATGTGGACATCGTGCACTAACAGCTTCCACGCGATCTGGAGGGCCAAGAAAGCCATCTTAGGGCCCACGCCCGGGAGAGAACACAGCTCGTCAGCAGTCTTCGGCACGTCTCCATCGAACTCGTCGCGCAGCTTCTGGGCGGCCTGCCGAATATATCTTTCGCTTGTCATCAGCGCGACGCGCTTCAGCCAACATACCGCGTGTACTCACCCCGTCTTGCGGCGCCAGAAGCCGACTTTGCATATCGCGTCCGCGATAGCGCTCTCGTCGGCCTGCAGGATGGCATCCACGGAGAGACTTCCGCCTACGGCATCGCGTAGCTTGGTCACGGCAGCATCTGTAACTTCATCCTTGGTTTGGGAGGAGAGCATCAACGACACGAGAGTCGAGAACCGCTGATTCTGCAGACGACATCGTATGTAAGTATCAAAACATTCGGGAAATCATGTGGGCGCGGTACCTTTGGGTCTGTCTCCTTGAGTTGCGCCTGGTCACAGCCCATGGTGTCGACGGGCGCGACGATCTGCGCCCGCATCCGCTTAATGGTGTCGTATGTCTCCTGCCAGCGCGCCGGGGCAGGATGTGGGGTCTCCAGCGCCGTGGGTATAGACTTCGGTTTCCGAGGCGCCGCGGTTGACCGTTTCCGCTTCGGTGGCTCAGGGGTAGACGAAGATGCTAGCTCTTCGTCCACTTCGACCACCTTCACCGATTTTGCCCTGAGAGCTTTCTTGGGTGTGGCCTCCGTACTAGTGGCGGCCTCGGTGGTCGCGTCGCTCTCTGGAGGTACAGTGCTTGAATCCGGTTCCGCTTTTATTCTCTTTGAACGTCGGAGTGTCGTTGCTTCCTCTGTAGCTTCGTAGAGAGTTACCGAAGAGTGATATGGACTGGGTCGAGCAAGAATAGACGACGCCTTTCGTTTCATGATGTAGAAGAGACGAGATGACCGTCGAAGCAGGGCGATGTTGGCAGTCTAAAACTCGCGCCTTTGACGACGCTGTATGTTCAAAGTGTGGATGCCGTTAACGTTCAAGTTGACGTGCTCTACCAGCTGGGCGGAGGTCGAGCCAGCCTACACGGGAATTTTAATGCGCTCTCCGTTACAGAGTAGATACGCGCTTGGGCACTTCTGTGCTAAGCCTGTGGGTCCGCTGGAACAGCGGTGAGGAGGTTTGACCGAGAGTAGCTAAGCCGAGCTGTCGACGGTGACAGGTTCAAGAGCTGCTTTCTTGGGTGAAGCATGATCATGGCGTATAAAACATTACAACCACATAAGCATTCGTGGTGTAGCGGTAACATTGGGTCTTCCCATGGCCTAGCTCCGGGTTCGACTCCCGGCGGATGCATTTTTTGCCTCTTCCCATCATGTGCTGCATCATCATGCACCCATCCGGTGGACGGCTGCACTTTGGTTGCACTCGAGCTCTTTCAGTCACTCTCATCTGCGAAGCTCATCCTCATATTGCATTCTCGCCTTTCCTGGCAGCTGCAAGCCAGGTTGGAAACTTGATTGTAAGTTTAGCAAGGCCGCGTCGTACTGGGGGGTGAGGGGTAGAAAAAGCTCGCTGCTCTCGGGCTGCTCCCTTCTCATCCCCTCTTCATTCGAGCCCCGTACACTGTACGGATTTTAGCGTCAGAGATGCAGCCATCTCGATCTGTCTTCGTGGTGGCCGAGCTCGACAATCTGCATGCATCCCCCCGGTGCTATCGATCTCCGCCGTTCGATCAAATGGAGACAGGTTTGCATCCGCTCAAGGTCAGCGACGATATGGGCCTTTCGTATGATTGCGCCGGCGTACAACCGGCGTTTTCCTGCTATGCCGGTCTCCTAGCCTTCCTCGAGCTCTGCATCGCTTGGTGACATACGATCGTGGGGCGGTATCCACGCCGGTGAGTAAGATTCAGGCCAGAGGATACATGCTGTAGTGGATCTTGTCTGACACATATTTTCCTAGTAACATGCTCTAAGTGTGTGCATAGTAGCTATAGATAGCCGCAAACACCACTCTTCAAAGGAGACCGCACGGCTGCGCACCATTTGACCCCGGGGCTTTCTTATTGCGCCATGTCGCGCCCGCAATTGGCTAGCAGTTTGCCCCTCGAAACCGCCGCAACATACGTTAGCGGCAACGATCGTCTCTGTTTGAGCGGCTTCTTCCGGAGGATCAGGACCGGAGGCCCAGAACACCACGCCGCCGTTCAGAAAACGCATATGGCACGCCTCACGCCCAACAAGCGCAGACGGATAACAGAGCGGTCCCGATTCATGTATGTTCCTTCTTCTCCGCGCTCTAAATTTTTCTCTACAGTGTCAACCGCATGTTGCGGCCTCATGTGAGGCATCACTTGGGGTGCAGCCTGTCGCTTCTTTGCATGTGGTCCCCGCGGGTTCTTCTAGACATACGTTTGTGGCAACCACCCTGGTCGTCGCCGTCGTCTCTGCGTATAAAAAGGTAGTATGTTCGGCGACATGGACTCTCAGCAACCGGGTGCCAGACATCGATATCCCCTCCCACTTCCCAACATGTTCTCCACCTTTTTCGCCGCACTCGTCGTCGCCTCGGGCGCCATCGCGTCCCCCGCATGCGCTCTCGTTGCGCGGTCCTCGACCCACACTCCCCGCGCCAGCATCTCCAGCCCTCTGTTCCCCGTCTCCCCGCAGCTGAAGTACTGGACCACTGACTCCAGCCTCCCCAGCCCGAGCCCCTTGTCCGACGCCACATTCCGTCCGCACAATCAGATCACCGCCCTCGCGCATCCATATGTCAACGCCCCGGACGGCGAGCTGTCGATGAAGGCACACTACCCCGCGGGCTCGTTCACCTTCAGCAACACCCCGCAGGGCGGGATCTCGTTCTATGCACCAGGCCCCGCCAGCGTCGACCTCACCACCGCCAAAGAGGCCACCTTCGGTTACTCCGTCTACTTCCCGTCCGGGTTCCAGTTCGTGAAGGGCGGCAAGCTGCCCGGCCTCTGTATGCCCCCCCAGACGCCCTGCAATGTGTCCGAGAGGCTAACCCAATTTGTTTTCCCAGACGGTGGAGACAGCGATAGCGAGGCCGTCTCCTGCTCCGGGGGTAGACGCGACGACGGCTGCTTCTCCGCCCGCCTCATGTGGCGCACGAACGGCGCCGGGGAGCTCTACACGTACCTCCCCCCAGACTACGACGCAAACCAGGCCGTGTGCGACATCCCGCCGTTCTCGACGTGCAACGACGTGTACGGCGCGTCTGTGGGCCGCGGCTCGTTCACGTGGAAGACCGGCGGACGGACGACGATCAGCCAGCGCGTGCGCCTGAACGACGCCGGGCAGGAGAACGGCGAGCTCGAGCTGTTCGCGAACGGTAAGAGCGTGGTCAATGTTGGGGGCCTCGTGCTGCGCAACAGCTCCGCGGGGCGTATTCGGGGGATCCAGATGCAGACCTTCTTCGGAGGTGAGTCTCGTGGCGCGTGCACCCCCGGCGGAGCGCGAGGGGAGCGGTATCAGCTGGGACTTGCCGGGCTTGCTTCGTGCCTGCCGCCGCGCATCTTCCAGGGGACTTACTTCGTCTGTTCTCGCTCGTTTTGAGCCGCCGTGCTGATGTGCTTTTTGTCTGTCAGGATCCGACTCCTCGTGGGCGTCGCCGGTCGACCAGGACGTGTATTTCTCCGACTTCTCCGTTGCTATCACGGAGACACTCTGAGGCGTTGGCGGATGACGGGGACTTGACGGTGGAAATGTGCCCCGGCGCGGGCGCAAGTGGAGCGCTCCAGGCTTCATGTCTCCATTGTTTTCTCGCACGGCGCCGCGAGGCATCCTCCCCGCTGCGGACGTGGGAGGAAGTCGTTTTCTGACTTATCGGGTTAATCTGCTGATCTTGGGTGCTACTTATTCTTGTTCTGTCTTGTTATCTCTGTATCATTAGGCGAATACCATGGCGGGGATTGCGATATATACTTATACCTTTACGAAAATCTGCTGAACGGTCCAGACCGATATGAACCCCTTGGTCGAGCCCATCTCTATCTACACTTGCGTTCCTTTCAAGTGTCCCAAAAGGGCCCTGCCTACAAAAATATATTCGGCGGCTGAGGACTACGATGGCGGGTTTTATTTATTCCAGATCACGCTCTCGAGTTGTTCGTACGCACATGCGTTGAGCGATCTCATAAAACACTTACTCTCAGAAATCATAACATGGCTCGACAAATGGCTTTGAAGTCTGCCGCCCTGCCGAGTGTCCAATAACGAGAAGCGCCCATATGTTGATGGGTGCATAGCCGCGTGGTCCCTTTCTTTCTCGCCTCCTACCGCGATGCTCGAATCAAGGCACCTCACTCCGACAGTACTGTGGTGGGAAGCTAGGGCTCGGAGGTAACACTCGGTTTGGCTAGGGCTCGGAAATCATGTTAGCGCGCTGATTGGGCGGAACAGGATGATGTGGCTCTGTCCAGGCTCTGCAAACTTTCGTTCGTTGCTGCGCAACAACCACCTCCGCCCGCGAGACATCTAGCAAGCGCCTGAGGAGAACAAACTGGGCGACTGTGCTGCGACGTAGAGACGAGTTTCGTCTGCTACAACCTGTCATGCCAAGACTTCCCCGGCCGACCTCGGCCACTGTGTCAAGGTAGTATCTACTGGCAGCGGTAGTGGTGAAATCTGTTCCACATGGAAGAATGGACGGCAATTTGAGTATGCTCCGTAAGTGCTGATGTCAGTTATGCATATATGTTACAACGTAGCCTGACTTCAGCTTTAGGCATCACTGGTGTTCTCGTCCATGTCGACATAGGCGAGAACACGGCATGTGTGGTGCTACAATCCACAGTGAGTCTTCTTATGCCGACTGCTTGTCTGCCGCGATATGAGGCCGGATTCACGTTTCCATCTGAGCAGCACTCATACAGACTGGTGTCGCGGGCTGTGCTACAGGCATTGTGTTTGCGAAGAGACACTATATGCGTCTTACGCATAGGAAAGGAGGAATCGGGCGCGCACGTTGGAGCGCACCGGCTGATACTCTGATGTTTCGTACCACAGCCCATGGCGTTGAGACCACGCCGAGCACCATCTGTGTGGGCGGAGGTATGAGTCTTGAAAGCGCTGCACGTTTGATATTCAAGATAGACGCACGTACTACAGCGCGTCGGTGTGCACACTGATCAGATAGCGCCTTGCAACTACGGTGGATGCCAAGCCCATAAATGTGGTCCAGGCTCCAAAGCACCCTTACCCGTGCCTTACGGGCAGGTGTTACAAGCCTCCGTTCTGCAAATTCGACCCGGTGCGTAGTTATTAGGACACAGCGATGCTCATACAACGCAGCTACAGCTCCTATACACTGTGTTACATTGAAAATGACAGAACAGAGCGTTGTAGAAAGTGATGGTGCATGGACGATGTTGTCTGCAAGACAACCGCTTTTGTTCCGGTTATGGGCGCCTGGCGCCTGTCGCCGTGCTTTGCGATGCGTGATCGCGCCTTGTCTCGACTGGAAGGCCTAAACCGTGTTTCCGGCCAGAGATTCAGAACTGTTGTCTATGGATGCCGGCGCACCATGCGCTGAGCGCCATCGCAGGTATAAAGTCCTTCGCCGGCCTACAATGTTTCCCTGCTTGACGCCGCTGGTCTACGTCCGCTCACTCCTTCACGCCCGTTCCCCCTCGCTCTCCGTCCCCTACGCTCCTTCTCGCCGCTCTCTGTAACGATGCTTGCTATGCTTGCCCCTGTCATCGCCTTCGGACTGGCTTCCGTTGCTGCTCTCCCGCTCTCCGCCAACCACACCCTGCACGCCCGCGCCGCCAACAAACTCTTCCCGGTGTCCGACACCACCTCGTGGTCGGTTTCCAGCGCCGTTACAGATGCGCTTGCGTTTAACGACGACACCTTCCGCCCGGAACATGAGATCAAGGACCTGACGCACCCCTACGTCGCGGCGCCGGACGGTGTGCAGTCTATGCAGGTGCACTACCCCAAGGGCTCGTTCAAGCTCTCTGCGGCACCACCCACTCCGCGCGGCGGCCTTTCCTTCTATGCCCCAGGTCCCGCTTCTGTGGACCTGACGACGGCACAGGAGGCGACGCTTTCCTACTCAGTGTTTTTCCCGGACGGTTTCGACTTTGTGAAGGGCGGCAAACTTCCCGGCCTTTGTACGTACCGCCGCCCAAGCCTCTGTTTTCGTGGAACCGTACTCATTCGGAATTACAGACGGAGGAAACAGCGATGACGTTGCGACCTCCTGCTCGGGAGGCCGGCGCGACGACGACTGCTTCTCTGTGCGCTTCATGTGGCGCACGGACGGCCAGGGCGAACTGTACACGTACCTCCCGCCGTCCTTCGAGGCGAACAAGGCGGTGTGCAACGTCGCGCCATTCTCGACGTGTAACGACGTTTTCGGCGCGTCGGTCGGCCGCGGCTCGTTCAACTTCGCGCCGGGTACACGCACGACTATCGGGCAGCGCGTGAAGCTCAACGACGTCGGTACCGCGAACGGCGAGATCGAGCTGTTCGTGGAGGGCAAGAGCATCTTCACCGTCACCGGCCTGGAGCTGGTGAACGCGGCGGAGGGGCGCATCCGGGGTTTGCAGATGCAGTCGTTCTTCGGAGGTGAGTTACCTATCTGCTCGTTTGCCTTGTTAAACGTTGGCCCGTGTGCTGATCTGTGTGCATGTAGGCTCGGGCAGCTCTTGGGCCACCCCGAAGGACCAGGATATATTCCTCGGCGATTTCTCTGTTGCTATCACCAAGAAGTTCTGAGGGACTGCTGTCACCGTTATTCCAGCGCGCTGTAGTCCGGTCATGATGGTCTTATTATAGCTCTCATGATTGCGTTCGAAATGCTTTCACTGTGCTGAGTACTGTAGGTTAATACATTGTTGTATCGCTCGAAACCAGGATTCTATCGCGAAGATGCTTGCTGTGACAGTAGACTCCCTCAGATGCGCGCACAGTGAGTATACCCACTGCCGTTCCCCATACCATGCGGTCCACGGTCTGGACGTCACGTTTTGAACCTTGGATTTGGGGTCGTTCACGACAACTGCGCCCTGCGTTCGGAACAACTCTGTGTCTCACCCGGGTCCTCGAGCGACAGCCCACGACATCGCTCGCCCGCGTCCGACAGCGCCTGCACACCGCTACAAAACGCCTACCATGCGACTTTTGAATGGGTTTCCGAAAGTGCTGCGGGGCATAATTTGCGTGCGCTTCGCAAGTGTAGCCTCGGATCGGTCCGACGTCATGAGGAAGGTTCGTGCGAGTGATTGTCGCCCGCTGTACATATGTATTCGACGGTTCGCGTCACAGACAGAAGTGTTCCTCCACAGCTCATGACGCACGCCGCCTGAAAGGAACCCAACGTGCCTGCCGCTCCGAGGGCAACTTCAGCCTTCAGGTCCATCGGTCAAACCGGTGGTGCTGTGACTCCGCGAATAGTGACGCCGCGCGGGCAAGGCACGCCGCACGATGATGCGCAACACGCTGCCTCTGAAGAACGTCGGAGACGATGAAGGGATGCCCTTGTTTCGGTGGTAACGCTGCGCAACAGATGAACCCGCCGGCGATCATCGACGCCCACGCCGCCTCGGTCGGCATGCAGCGCCTCAGTCTCCACGCAGGTGGTGCGCGTTCAGGGCATTCCGAGCACGATGAGTGCTCATGCACACCTTTGGCATGTCCTAAATATTGCCGGAAAATTCTACCAGCATGCTACGAAGTATGGCTGCTGCCAAAATGCGCAAGGGCCCTTGGAGACGCACGGGCCGGGCGGTAGCGAACGAAGTACAACAGTGTATCGCCTAATCGGGAAGCTACTACTACTCCACGGCAGTTACCGATTGCTGATAGGCGAGCACAGGCGCGCGGTTTTTTGTTCCATTCCCTCTTCTTCCCCTTACGTGCCCCTTCCCTCCTCCCTCTTCCCTCTCCTCTCCCTCGTGTCCGGGTGTGTGCCTCTTGCACTAGTCGTTCTTTTTACACAGACAGTCTTTTCGACTCGTCCCTCAGGTCTTCGCTCTTTCAGACCTTCCCCACCGGCCTCTACACCCTCCGCACCAGCTCTACGGCCTCCATTCACCGCTTTTCAACATGTACGCCTTCACCACGCTTCTCACCTTCCTTGCCATTGGCTCCGCCTCGGTCTCCGCTGTCCCTCTTCACCACAGGAGGACATGCAAGCCGCACTCCCGGATTTCCCAGGGTTCGTCGGTTTCAACGACTGTTCTTGAGTCCTCGACCGCAGTTCCCTCCGCGACTGTGACGTCTGGGATCTTGGCTGTTTCTACGAAGGTGTCGAGCTCTGCAGAGGCCTCCAGCACGAAGGTCAGCACCACCGAGAGCAGCGTTGCAGCTTCGAGCACCAAGGCTTCGAGCACCAAGGCCGCGAGCACTAGCAAGGCCTCCAGCACCAAGGTCTCCAGCACTAAGACTTCTAGCACCGCCGCTGCCACCAGCACCGGTGTCGTCTCCAGCCTGCTCAAGAAGCTCTTCCCTGTCTCCCACTCCGCGTTCTGGACTACTTCCACGGCATCCACCGATGCTCTCCCCCTCTCCGACTCCACCCTCGGTATCACCAACCTGCTCAAGGCGCTGTCGCACAACTACGTGAAGGCACCGGATGGCAAGCAGTCGATGCAGGCTACCTACCCCGAGGGCTCGTACACGTTCACGCACAGCCCGCAGGGTGGTCTCTCCTTCTACGCCACTGGCCCCAGCTCCGTTAGCCTCGATGACGCGAAGGAGGCCACTTTCTCGTACTCCGTCTACTTCGAGGACGACTTCGCCTTCAACAAGGGCGGCAAGCTCCCCGGTTTCTGTACGTGCTCTGCTCATACCTCCAACAAGCTGATGCGACTTGTGTCACAGACGGAGGTGACGACGCGACGACCGCCGTTTCTTGCTCTGGTGGCCGTCGGGATGACACTTGCTGGTCCACGCGCTTCATGTGGCGCACCGGCGGTGCAGGTGAGGCGTACACCTACCTCCCTCCCGACTACTCTGCCAACAAGGCCGTCTGCGACGTTGCGCCGTTCTCGACCTGCAACGACGTTTACGGTGCCTCCGTCGGCCGCGGCTCTTGGACCTTCAAGGCCGGCACACGCACCACGATCGGCCAGCGCGTCCGCCTCAACGACGTCGGTCAGGAGAACGGCGAGCTCGAGATCTTCGTCGAGGGCGAGAGCATCTTCACCGTCAAGGGCCTTGTCTTCCGTGACAAGGCTGCTGGCCGCATCCGCGGCATCCAGATGCAGACGTTCTTCGGAGGTATGTCCCCTCCTCCCATTGTGTGCCTTTGTGAGACTGACATTAACATCTGCAGGCTCCGACTCCTCGTGGGCGTCCCCCAAGAAGCAGAGCACGTACTTCTCCGACTTCTCCGTCGCCGTTACGGAGACGTTGTAAGGTCTCTCTGATGTCTCACGCCCGCACGACCCTTCACGAGCCTCGGCCCCGGTCCTAGTCCACTCGCACATCCTCGCACATCCCCACACGCACGTACACACATCTCCCCCATCTCTCCCCATCCGTCATTATTGCTCCATTTAGACTGCTCTCGCTGCTCACTCGTTTAACGTTATTTTCGCGCTACGCCGGCGCCCTCGCTCGACGCACCCGTTATCCTCCGCCATCGATCCCCGTCCGCTCGGTTCTGGCATCCACTGTAGGTGGGCCGTCGGCGACGGCGCGCACAGTCGCGTCGCAGGGAGGACCGGTCTGGGGCGTCCCTCGTGTATTTGCTAGGCAGATATATGTATCTTTGCTCGCCTGGGGCTTTGCTCTTGCTATACATCTTTAAAGACATACTCTCGTGGACCTATGTCCTGATGTGTCTTGCATGTTGCCTGATCCACATCGAGGACCTCAGTATGGCTGGGTGCCTTCGTATAAGCCCGCCAAGCGGCTTTTTGGCCTTGGCTATGTCTCTCGCTATTTGATGTCTCATGGAATGCGGAGTAGGGCCGGCCAGATCAGATTTTGAGAATACTGAAACCACAAAATGCTAGTACAAGTAGAGCTTGAAGCAAGACAAACCCCAAAACAGATTTGAATGGGCGGGCCACCACATGTAGAGCACACCGTGACAGTGAAATTCGAGCTGCGAGGGTTACAGGCGAATACATACGGTAGCCAAAAGTTCATATTAGGAAAAGCCGTGCATCCGCCGGGAGTCGAACCCGGAGCTAGGCCATGGGAAGACCCAATGTTACCGCTACACCACGAATGCGGATAATGACCATCAAGCCTGAACATTCTTGACTTGGCAAGGCCGAAAGTTGTCTCAGACTAAGTTTAACTTGCGAGAATATGCAACTTTGTGGATGCGATGAGGAACGTGCTTTGGACATGCGTGTGGCGGGTTTACTCCGCTATCAGGACGAGTACTTGAAGCTCTTGCTTGAAGCCTAACGCCAAGAATTTTGCAAGAAGATCCTGGAGGGATGAGTCGTATTCAACGAACGAATAAGATACTACCTTCAAGTTGCCAGCTACCGTTCATTAATAACATGCTACTCGTCAGGAGTAAGATGATAATACACCTAACAGACTGAGACCAAAGACGTACATCAAACTACTTCAGTGAGAGGCAACCGCCGAACTTTCTCCTCGCCGCCTCGTCCATCTTCGCCTTCACCTCCCTGAACGCACCCCACCACGCCCGGCCCACCATCTCGGAAGTCACCCGCTTAGTGCGCTCAAGTGATACCTCAGGCTCCGGCACGTTCTCCCAGGTCCCGAAGTGCCGGCGGAGCAGCACGAGCCACCACTTCGCAACTGCCACTGCACGCTCGACGCCCGAATCGCTCGAGCGCGCGCCGTCTACGCATCGCACGAGGAACTTCGCAAAGTAGTCCACGTCGCGCTGGTTCGGCGCATGCTCCCGGAAGCCATCGACCCAAGACTCGATTACGCGCTGCACGTCGTCCGTCTCGCTGAACTGCAGCTTCTCGCCCGGCGCCTTCCCCTGCTGCTTCAGCGTCGGGCGCGCGAGGTACACCGCCTTTGGGGGCGGCGGCGCGCGGTACACGAACGATGGCGAGTGCGAGGACCGCTTGCCGCGATATTCAGACGGCTTCAACACTTTGCGCTGGCTGGCGTAAACAGTGACGCCGGGCGCGCGGTGTGCCGCCAGCTGCTCGCGCTGCATCTCGAGTGGGAGGGCGGCGAACACGTCGGGGTCGATGCCGTACTTGCGGAGCTCGCTCTTGGTGACGCTGACAGAGGATGTGTACACACGCTTCGCGAACAGCTTGTTCGTGGGCGAGAGCATGGGCCGATTCCGAGGTGCGAGCTGTCGAGTGATACGCTTCAGGTTGGGACCCCTGACAACGATACCGAACTTCTTCTCGGGCTCGGGAGGTGGCTGTGTAGGGTCCTTGGGAGCCGGGCCAGGCGTTACCGAGCGTCGCTGGTATTCTGCTTCGAGCTCCTTACGAAGATCCTCGGGCAGCGCCTCAAAGACGGACATGTCCACTTGCGAGAACGAGGGTAGGTCGATGTCCGCCTGCGCGCGTCCTACCTCAGGCGGTTTCTCGATAATATGCACTTCTTCGTCTTCTTGGGATGGCGGCTGGATGGCGATCTTCGGCCGTCGAGCATCGATGCTACTGCCTGCTTTTGAAGCAGATATGCCCTGTTTGGAGACACCGGCGCGCTTGAAAGGCAACACAGCTTGCCCAAGTTCGGTGTCCTGAACGCCCGAGGCCTTCTCCAGCTTCTGGATCTGGATCCCGATACCACGCAGCTCGCGCGGGTCAAAGTTGAAGCTCTTGAGCAGTCTCCATGCGTGCTCGCCGATTACTTTGTCGTTGCTTGTCGCACGACCGCCTGGTGCGATGAGCGGCGCTTGCTTGTTGTGCCCTTCGCAAATCCCATGACCGAGAAACTAACATGCGTTCAGTATGGGATTGCATGGTTATGATTATGTGTATCTACCTTTGGTGCCTCGACGGGTGCGCTCGGGTCCCGCACAAGTATCTTCAGTGTGAGCGAGCGACCGCGCATTTCGATGCTATTGAGTCGCCGCGAGACCTCTTCTGCCATCTGGTACACAAACGCCTCTGCCTGCTCGTTATTCTCGAATCGGATGCCGTACTGTAAACCGCTTTCACATCAGCACGCCGGGCCTAGAGGTGGATAGACCTACGTTGATATCGCAAGAGACTGACTTCCTTGGCTTGTCGCTCTCCAGCTGCCGCTCGTCGATACCCCGGATCGCCTTGTACAGGGTCTCCCCAGTGCCCTTGCCCAATGCGTCGCACAACACCGCTTTGCTCTTCTTCGCGAGCTCGCCCAGGTTCGTCGCCCCGAGCTTCTCCAAGGCCTTCTGGCGCGCCGAGTGCCCGAACCCGTGCAGGTCGTCGATATCGAGTGGGGCGAGAAAATCGGGGGCGTCTTCCGGGCGCAGGTGGAAGGACCCTGCAGGCTTTGCACGCCGGGACGCAAGGCGCGCAAGCATGATGTTGGGCGCGATACCGATGCTGACTGCGCCAGCAGCGTTAGCGGAGCTGATAGAGAGGCCTAGAGGCTGTCACGCACCTTCACAGCCTGTGATCTTCCTTACTTGCGCTCGGATGGCCTCTGCGAAGTCTTTCGCGGGGTCGACCAAGTCGTCTGCGCCATCAGGCTGCTCCGTCAACTTGGCACGTATACGCGTTACGCTGCTGGTGACGTCGATGAGCGCCTCGTCCACAGAAACCGCTTGAAGGTCGTCGGCATGCGCCATCAGGATGGTGTAGAATTGTAGTGAGAACTTCTTGTACCTGTAGGAGCGCCATCAACGACTAAAAATTTAGGGCATCGCGATATGCTCACAGTTCAAACTCGTATGGTATCGTGATGATAGCAGGGCAAAGCTTGCGAGCCTGCTGTAAGCTACAGCGGTCAGTCAGTACCAGTATCAGCCATTGGGGAAGACGATAAAGAACGTACCTCATCCCGCCCTTAATGCCGAACTTACGCGCTTCATAACTCGCGCTCGCGATCTCACTGGTGCTCGAGGCACCGCCCGCACTCCCCTGCGAATGGCAAACCACGACCGGCTTGCCTCGCAGGTGGGGGCGATCAATGAGTCCGGCAGCGACGAAGAAGCTGTCAAAGTCGCAGTGCATGATGACCCTCTCCTCGTCCGCCGCCTTCTCCTTGCCCTTCCCTTTGCCGGGCACACGCTTGACGAGCCGCGCCCCGCGCATGCTCACATCGCCCTTCAGATCTGCGCTCCCAAGCCCGCGTCCGCCGATGTTCTCCTGCACGACACGCTCGACCGCCGCCTGACTCGTGCTTGGGGCATCCATCTCCGTGGTGGATGCGAGGCCCGCCCACGCCTCGGGCCCATTGTTCTCGGCGCGGTCCTGCGCCTCCGCGACGAGGTTCTTGAGCTCGGCCTTCCAGGCAGAGAGGTGGTGCAGGCGCGAGTTCTTGTAGTAGCCCTCGATGAAGTCTGGGGCGACAGAGGTGTGCGCGGCGCGCCATGCGGGATCTTGCATGGCGCGCTCGGCGTGGGGGTTTGATCTATGCACGGCGTAGCCAGGGATCCGGTCCGCTTCTGAGGGCGTGGCGGGGTCCGTGATGAGTAGTGCACGCGATGGCGTCGTGGGCGCGGGTTTGCGGGGGGACAGGAGTGTTTGCTTCTTGGGCGTGTGTGGTGGAGTTGCTACCTTGGCGGTTGTCCGTGAAGAACTTGCCTCAGGCTGAGCAGGGAAATCTACCGCGACACGCCGCGGTTGCGACTCTGGAGTTGTAGCGCGAATAGTGTTGGGCTTTGACTGTGTAGTATGGCCTGTGGCTTGCGAAATGAAGCCGTCGAGCAACGACTTCTGCGCGACTTTGCGACCTTGAGCACCCTCAACACGCTCGCCTGGCCGGAATATGTAGTCCTGCCAAGGCAAGAGCGTGCCAGCTCCAATACTGTCCACCAACCACTCAGGTCTAACGACCTTCATGTGCTGGAACTCCCGTACTTTGGCTGGGGTCAAAGCGCAGGTGATTATGTGCGTGCTGGAGGTTCAAGGATTATTAGACACTGGTGCACCATGTAGATGCTTGATGTATGCACGTATGTCCGCTTGGTAAATTACGATCTCTACCCGTATCCGCGAGCCCGTACCCAATGAGGTCACGATTTCGCGGATGGGGAGGAGCAGGTGTCACTTAAGCGTACGACAGCGCTTTCATAGCTTTCCGGTGATACTGTTATGTGCTTCGAGTGATAGACTGTTATAAAAACTCACACTAACGACTTCTTGTCCAGGTATGCATGGAAAATACCGCCATACTGGACGATCATCTGGCGCAAGTCCTGCACAGAGGGCTCTGTCCATCCATTGATCTGTACCATCCATTAGTCAAAGTCGCGCATGTGGTATGGAACGGAGCGGCCTTACGTAGATTTGTAAGTCACGAAAGATCTTGCTTCGGACCGCCTCATCCTCGTCGACATCCATTTCAGCATTCTGAAGTTGCAGCTTCGCCCGCTTCCTGGTCATATATTCCCCAAATTCTCCGAAGCGCGCTGCACCATATGTGTGAGACTCCAAGTAAGAGTCTTCACCTCCATCGGCCACAGAAGCGAGCACTCCGTGGTAGTGTGTGCCCTCATCCTGAAAGTCGAGGTCTTCGGGGGAGCGCGCGCGCTTCAAAGAGCGCTGATTCAGAGGAGGTGGCTCCTCATCGTCTACCTGTCGTGGTTGTGCGAGCGGGGGTGCCTCCAACTCATCCTCAACTTGAAGTTGTGGTGAGGCGTGAGGTAAGGGAACCTCCGTGATGGCCTTGAGGAATTCGGGGTCATCGTCAAAGTAGTCGGACGAGTTGGTGCTATTTTGGGTCAACTGTGACATACTGAGTGAGGGTGAAGCAGTCCAAAGAACATCGGGGGCGGGCGTGCACCCCAGAGAATGTGGCTGGATTCGGAGTCGAGTTGAATAAGCGCCGGATGGTTGTTTGGCTACAGCTTCTGGACCAAACAAACACCCGCCCAACGCGTAACGGCGCCTGTTTCGGCGCCACAACCACGCCTCCATCATGATTGCACTGGCCGAGACAGCGCCCGACTGTGCGGACCGACACCCTCTCCCGTCCAATCATCATCACTCAGCTCGCCGCGCTCACCCCGGCATCGTCGCAGACAGCGTGCGACGGAAAGCTGTGCTCAGGGGTTTCTGTGAGCTGGCCGCAGAACGCCTTGGTGCCATACTCCTTCTCTCTTACCGTCTGCCTACGGCACCGACACACACTCGCTGTATTGTCTGAAACTCGCGTTGCTTTCTTGCTGCCATGCCTGACGGATACGACTACCTCTTCAAGCTGCTCCTGATCGGGGACTCTGGCGTCGGCAAAGTGAGTTCGTGCCATCCCGCCAACTCGCGTGTGCGATGCTGAACAGGTGCCTGCGCTAGTCATGTCTCCTGCTGCGGTTCGCGGAGGACGCGTTCACGGACAGCTACCTCAGCACCATTGGCGTGGACTTCAAGATCAGGACGATTGAACTGGAGGGGAAGACGGTGAAGCTGCAGATTGTGAGTGGCATCCTCCCGTCGTCCACTGACCCGGCGTCCCTGACTGTCGTGTGTCATGCTTCAGTGGGATACCGCTGGCCAGGAGCGTTTCCGTACGATTGCTGCTGCGTACTACCGCGGCGCGCAGGGTATCATCATGGTGTACGATGTCACAGAACAAGGTCAGTCTGCGTGAGATTCTTTTGAGGTCAGTTCGTGCTTATCCTTTGTGCTAGAAACGTTCTCCAACGTCAAGGGGTGGATCACGGAGATCGAGCGTTACGCGTCCGAGGGCGTCAAGAAGCTCATCATTGGAAACAAGTCCGACCTCGTCGAGCGGAAGGTCGTGGAGTACTCCATAGCGAAGGTCAGTTATGTGTTTGCCTTGCTATACGCCGTGTGTTCAACCGCCCTTGGTACGCAGGAATTCGCGGACAGCCTTTCGATACCCTTCATCGAGACCTCCGCCAAGAACTCGACAAACGTCGAGGAGGCGTTTACCCTCATGGCGAAGACCATCAAAGACGAGTGCGTTATTATTCTTCGATTCATTCCATAACTTGCTAATGCCTTCCTTAGTGTCGACACTCAGCCAGAGGAGTCCTCCGGTGCCTCCAAGACCACGTCTGTCACTCCCGGACGCAACCTCAGCCAAGAGAACGAGTCCGGCGGCTGTGCGTGTTAATGCAGTGCGCGATCGCGCTCGACCGCTTGTAGAGCCCACCCTGTTGTCGTTTTGACTTGCTCTCCCCCGGACGGATACATTCTATTATTCCCCGGACTCTGTATTTCTACTCAACACCTAGGTCTATATCATAACGATCTGTTTTATTGCGACTTCGCTGAAGGTCAGGCGCTGTGCTCATCCACGTCAGTGAAAGGTGACAGATGGACTAGAAAACCGAGATGGTGAGCCCGCAATCATCATACGCGATATGTTTACACGTAGGCTGTCGTTGTCCTCGTACTCATTGCATATAGATTGAGCCTTTGGATGCACACCACCACTTCAGGTTCTTCGTCTCATCGCTCACTTGGAGCTTCTGGCGCGCGTACTACTTGCCAGTGTTCGGACCGAGCTCAATACCCTCCGTGACTGCGGCCACGTTCGCCGAGTGCACGTCGGTGGTATATCATAGCTATACATTGGCCCGGCGCTTGCTGTCGTCGGAGGGCCTAGAGCGTTCGTTCCCTAACCCTAACCGTTACCCTAACCTGGCAGCCCTGAACCCCGTTGCCAGGTTAGGGCTAGTGGGTGGGCGCTTATAGAGCGCTTAACGACGAACATCGCGCGCCGAGCAGCCACTCTCGCGACTTGTCCTCCTTCCTCCACCATCCCCCCTTCGATTCGAGCCAGAAACTCTCCCTGCTGCCTCCATCTGTCCGCTTCTTCATTTAAAACTTTGGATGGCTCGCTCGAGGCACAACAGTCCCGCGGGGGACGATGCAGACGATGGCGCGAACGCTCTCTTCACCATCACAGGCCGTCCAGTCTACTTTTACTTGTACGGGACGAACGAGCCGACCGCGCCGGGGGCACTTACAGAGGGACAGCGTGAGCATCTGAAAGGATTGATTACGGTACGTGTTCAATGCTACAGGTCTTGACTAGGAGACTAACTATCTGCAGAAAAACGGCGGCTTCATATGCAAGTCCGAGGCAGACGCGGACACGATCATCGTAAATCCTGTGCAGGTTAAAGCTCTCAAGGACAAGTACGACTTTGAGCACAACATCTACGTCGAACCCCCATCCTTTGTGGAGCTCTGTATTCACAGGGGCGTCTACACACACGACAGAGTCCTGAAGAAGCCTCTAGGTGGCCGGCCTCCCAAAGGGTGAGTCTCGCGCCATTACAGTGAGCAAAGCTGGCCGGTTCTTGGCGCGTCACGAGAAGGGCTGTAATCTAGCCGAGCGCGATTCCTCACGATTAGACGTCGTTCGCTAACGGTTACACAGCGCCCGCACACCATTTACTGATGAGGATGACCAGCACCTCTGTGAATTCCTCGCCCGCCGCATACCCGACAAGGAGGCCGGAGGCCGTAACGGGCGGAACACCTACATAGAGCTCGTTGAGAAGGCGCAATACGTAAGTAGTCTGTATGCTCCGTACCCTCCGGTGCTCATGTATCCTCTCTAGGCCGGGCTGGGCTACGAATGGGCCGCGCGGCACACCTGGGAGTCTTGGAAGGAAAGATATAAGAAGAGGTTTGAGATTATGGATCCCATCATTGACGAGATCGTGAGGCAAAATCCCCCTCCTGCGGACGGCAAGGGTGTGCGGCCGTACGACAGACGGGTGAACGGCCAGGGTCAGTTCGCGCTGCTGAACAAGCAGGCCCTGATGGAGGAGGAAGAAGAAGAGGACGAGGACGTGTTTGAGATTGAAACCGGTCCCGAGCATGATGCACACGAGGAAGCGGGCGAGTCCCAGCAAGAACTGCCTCAAGAAGGGTGGGTGGCGCATTTTCCAATAACGCGAAAGCCCTGTTCTGATGTACCTCAGGGATGAGGAGGAGGACCACCGGCCTGGCCCCGAGGACGCCGGTCCTTCTGGGACACAGCGCACGCCGTCCGCCAGCCCTCCACCAGCGCCCAAACAGAAGCAGAAGCAGGCAGCCCAATCCTCTCGCGCCCGGCCCCCGCCACGCGCACCTAACGGCGGTCTCGCCGCAGCCGCACGCCTCGCACAGAGAGCTCTAACGCAGGAGGCCCCCGCGAGCTCTCAAGCCACGCTCGTCGGGCCCGTGCCCTCCCAGATGCGCGGCGCGAGCGGGGCAGCAAAGCTCCCTCCTAGGCGCCCCAGGGAAGCCTCTGTTGAGCGCGAGGAGGCCCATGCGCCCACGGAGAAGCCCGTGGCTAAGCGTCGCAAGATTCACAAGGCGCCCGAGCCGCCCGTCGTGCAAGTGCCGCCGATGAGGGAGGGCGGCCGGGGTTCGCGCGTCGCGTCTCAGGCTGCGCGGAAGACGGCGGACCAGCCGCGCAAGGTGCCTAGCGTCGTCCCGGCGCCCCGTCGCCAGCCCGTCCGGCCGCCCTCTCCAGTCGTACAGGAAGAAGATGAAGATGAAGAAGACGTGGATGGCGACGACGACGAGATGGAAGACGAAGGCGTCGTAGCAGGCGGCAGCGACGAACAGGACGTCGAGGAGCTCCTCCAAGCCCAGAGCGCCGAGACCAGCCGGCAATTCTCGCCACCCGTGGCGGGTCCATCTGGCGCGTCGGCGAGCGACGATATGGACAGCGACGACCAAGTCGCCCTCCAGAAGCTCAATCCCGACCGGCGCGCGAGCATGAGCGACGAGGATGATGACGACGTGGCGTACGCGAACTCACTCGACCTCACGGTCCCGTCGCGCTCGCGCAACGCCTCCGCGCGCCACGCCACGGCCTCCCGCTCTCCACAGGCGCCAGTCACCCCTGCGCGGCCAGTGCGGCGGGGTACGGACGAATCGACGGAGTCGGAGGCGGCCGTGCCGTTGGCCGGGACGCGGGCGAGCGAGACGGTGCGGCGGGCGAGGGAGAGCGCCAAGCGGGAGCCGTACTTGCCTCCGCCTGGGACCAGGGCTGCGATTGTGGCGGCCATCCCGGCACCTGTCAGTGGGAAGGTTTTGCGCTCGCGCAAGATTCCTACTCGTGCGTAAATGGTGGAGGATCTATTCTCCTTTATGGTGGTGTGCGGCTTGCTGGGTTCCGTGGTTTCGGCGTGCACACATCTACCTCCTCTTGCGGCTCTGGTTACTCGATTGTCTCCGATTGCTTCCTAACTTACACTATGCTACCATTACAATCTGAGCCCTATATACCCTCAGCCACCTTCAAGCCGGCTTCACCCCACGCGCGACGAACCACTGCGTCTCCTCGCCCGTCGCGCTCATCGTCGCCCTAAACGCATCCGCAAGCTCGAACTCCACAAGACCCGCGCCCTCAAACGCGCCCCGCACCGCCTCCTCAGTGAGCCCATGCTTATGCGGCACAATATGGTGGTGCGTCTCCTTGAACAGCGCGTGGCCATCGGGCGCAGCCTTGATGTCCGCGACGAGCAGCGAGCCCCCCGGCTTCAAGAAGTGTGCGAGGACGCGCGTCGTGTCCGCGATGGACGGGAAGTGGTGGTACGCGGCGGAGCACACGACGACGTCGAACTTCGCGTCGTCCAGCTCGCCCGGGGCGCCCGTGAGCTCGGCGCACACTGCGCGCATCTCCGTGGGCTCGAGACCTTGGTTTGAAGCCTGCGCGTTGTACGCGTCAACGGAGGCCTGGCTGATGTCGACCCCGACGATGCTCTTCACGTGCGGGCACAGCGCTTGGGACAACAGGCCTGCAGCCCCCCTCGTTATTTGCGCAGATTTGGCTTATGAGGGGGACGCACCGACGCCGCACGCGTAGTCCAGCACCTCTGTGCGGTCTTCGTCGAAGAGGGCGGGGTGCGCGCGCTGCATGGCGGCGACGGTCTTGTGCCGCAGCTTGAGCGCGTCCGGGCGGTGCGGCTCGTGTGCATGCTGGTCGAAGAAGGCCTTGTTGGCCTCTGCGAAGTCGTGGCTGTGGTGTTCGTGTGTGGGGGTGGGCGCGGCCATCGTGCACGGAGAGACGGGCAGGTGGTGGTGACAAGTCAAGAGCGTACTCCGAGTATTTCGGAGGTGCTGCTTTGCCTCCGGATCCGAGAGATCGATCAAGATCTAGTGGTGACCGGGACGGTACTCGCGCAACCGCCGGGTATGTGCGCGTCTGTTCCTCAGTTTGGTTTCTCTTTCGGACCCGACATGTCCGAGTCCTCTTGGTGTGAAAGTACGTTCGAGACCAGAGCAAAGTAAGTACAAGGGTACAAGGCACAATATCCTGATGATCAAGCCACCTCAGCAGGCTTCACGCCGCGCGCGACGAACCACATAATCTCCGGCGCATCCGGCGCCATCCTCACCGGCTGCATGTCCTTCAACGCGAACTCCTCCAGCCCCGCGCCCTCGAACGTCGCGCGCATCCTCTCCTCGGTCATCCCATGCCGGTGCGGTACGACGTGGTGGTATGTCTCGGGCACGAGGACGGCCCCGTCCGGGGCGGCCTTCATGTCCGTGACCAGGAGGGCGCCCCCAGGCTTGAGGAAGAACGCGAGCGCGCGCGTGACGGTGTCGATGTCCGCGAAGTGGTGGTAGGCGGCGGAGCACTGCACAGATGCAACGACTCAGGATATGGGTCTACAGACGCGGTCGGGGAGACGTACGGTGATGAGGTCGAACTTGGTTCCGCCGAGCTCGCCTGCCTCGCCCTTCAGCTCGGCGCGTACGGCTTTCATCTCGGACGCGAAGCCCTGGTCCGCGGCCTGCTTGTTGTACACATCGACCGAGGCTTGGCTGATGTCCGCCCCAACGATACTCCTCACATACGGACGCAGCGCCTGTGAGAACATCCCTGTGGTTACACACCCGGTGCGGCAACATGTCGTCAGCGCCTAGGACATGCAATCCAGGTATAGTGAAGCGCACCGGTGCCACAGGCATAGTCGAGCACTTCCGTGTGCTCCCTGTCGAAGAGGGCGGGGAACGTGTCGCGCATCGCGTTCACGCTAAGCACCGCGAACCCACGCGCATAAGGGTGTTCCTCCTCGAGTTTGTCCGCGTGCTCGTCGAAGTGCGCCTGGTTGGCCCGCGCGAAGTCGTGATGGCCATGGACGGCGTCGGTAGCTTGAGACATTGCTTGTTGTTGGAAGTCGCTAGTTATAGAAGAGGCTGGCTTGGGTGGGTTGTTGCTCTAACAACTTCGCCTGGCCGGCATATATACTGCATGTTTGTGAGGCTCGGAAATGTGGTGACTGGAGCGGTACTCTCCAAGGTACACAGCACGGCAAATTAGTCATACCAAGGGCTCGGACGGTGCGAGACGGGCCGCGCAGCGGCCCATATATGGTGCCCAGGGCGTGACGGTCGTGCGCGCCGAAGGCGCGTTCAGTAGGTGTAAGCGCGCGCACTCAGTCCCTCCTGTTCGCGTCCCCCGCGCGAGTACTGCGTCCGCTGTACCAGTATCTCATGTACATACATGCAAATTCTAAGATAAAATGGTGTAAAATTGCGGGAGCTTCGCGGCGGCTCGCGCCGCCGCATTGAACGAGTATGGGCGCCTATTCCACGATCACCTTCGAGGAGGTGCACGATTTGAGTGATGTTTCGCGCGCGCAAACAGGGCTCAGATATCCTGAGAAGTATTTTAACCTCACTTGGAGAGACTGTTTGTCATTTTTGGAGCTTCGCGGCGGCGCGCCGCCGCGAATCTGTGCACATATAGCAAGGATAGCCTAGGACCAGGCTCTCCTGGGGCTCTATATCCCGAATAATTCACGCCGAGAGCTTCCAAGTGGGTTGAAATGAGCCTCTACACATTTATAA